ATATCGCGCAAGCAAAGAAAAATCGTTTTCAGTGATGATCGTCTCGCCGGATGCGCCGAGATACTCGTCAATTTTCGCATGATCCGTCATGGAGATTAGAGCTACGTCGATGTGATTGCTCGCCAAAGCCCATTTGAGCGCCGCTTGTGAAAAAGTTCCGCCTTCAAGTTCGTGAGGGCGCATTTCGTGCAGTCTTGCGCCCATCAGTATCTTCATTGCAGCAACACCGACACCCTTGTTGCGCGCCTTGTCCAATACTCGTATGAGGTCTGGCTGCAGAGCGATATAGTGAAATAGATAACGAAGCTTTTCTCGAAATCCGGATCCTGGGCAAAATTGAACGCAACAAGAACCACATCAACCAAATCATGGTCCAGAGCATAATCCAGACTCTCGATCAGTCGCGAACCATGACCTGACATGCCGCGAAACCTGATCTTCCCCTGCTTCTTGGCTGTTTCTGTGAATTCGGCCCATTCAGGATTTTGCATGCGGGCCGGATCATTCACTGCGTGGTTGTAATAGATGTCTACATAGTCGGTTCGCAGGCGCTTGAGACTTTCTTCCAAAGCACTCATCATCTGGCGTCTTGTGTCGCCTTCTCGTGCTTTTGTCTTCGACGCAATGACTACTTTTTCACGAACATTCGAAAGAGCTAGTCCAACTGCCGTCTCCGACACTCCACCGCGATAGCTTTCTGCCGTGTCAAAGTAGGTTACGCCTCGTTCATATGCGTAGCGCACCAATTTTGAGTCGGACAGACGGCTGCAGCCGAAAGAAATGTCGGAAACCTCAAGTCCGGTGTTACCGAGGGGGACATAGCGCTGAATCTGTGGCTTGACCGACGCCGCAATTGGAACTGCTTCAGAAACTGATGTCAAAGCAGTAACTGCGGCTGCACTCAATTTGAGAAACGATCGCCTCTGCATTGTGTCTGTCTTGCGTTAGTCGTTGCCGATGTTGTACTAGCTTCTGCCCCTTGGATTCAGGTGACTGAATCACTGCGCTGATCTGATTTCAGATTTGGCAACTGCCAATAATTTATCGATGATATAACAAGTTTTCCAGACAGACTACAGCATTCACGTTCGATGCACTTGTCTAGTGTGAATAAAATGAGTTTCTAGAGCTATGGTAAGGGCAGCTTTGAGCGAATTTACAAAGAGGTTGATCATTTCACAATCTGTGAGGTGAAAAACTTCACGTTAATTTCTGTTGGCATTTCAGCCTTGTCGTATTACAATTTTACGCGGTAATTCATAATGGTGCGTCTTGGACTGCACCTGGAAGACATTTCACTTCAAATTTCTAAACCAAACCAATACCTTTTGGGGTGTAGCCAAGCGGTAAGGCACCGGATTTTGATTCCGGGATACCCAGGTTCGAATCCTGGCACCCCAGTCAATCAGTTTGCTAAATCCAGAACGCTCACAATCGAAATTCTTAACTTCGACTGAATCGGATAGAGAGGTGTCGGCATGTTGATCGAAAACATGATGATTCTGACTGGCAATGCCAATCGGCAGCTTGCTGAGCAGATTGCAGAGTACCTTGCTGTACCGCTAGGCAATGCGACGGTCGGACGCTTCAGCGATGGTGAAATCGCAGTTGAAATCAGCGAAAACATTCGAAACATGGATGTATTCATCATTCAGCCGACCTGTTCGCCGACCAACGACAATCTTATGGAGCTGCTGGTGATGATTGATGCCGCCAAACGATCTTTCGGCAGGCCGTATCACCTCGGTTATTCCGTATTTCGGATATGCAAGACAAGACCGCCGACCGCGTAATTCGCGCGTACCGATAACCGCCAAGCTCGTGGCTTCATTGATCGGCACCGCCGGTGCCGACCGCGTGCTCACCATGGACCTGCATGCCGATCAGATTCAGGGGTTTTTTGATATTCCCACCGACAACGTATATGCAAGGCCAGTTATCATCGGCGACTTGTGGAAACACCGTCCAGAAAATCTTACCATCGTCTCGCCTGACGTCGGCGCGGTGGTTCGAGCTCGTTCGATCGCAGAGCAGCTTGAAGCGCAGTTTGCGATTGTCGACAAACGAAGGCCTAGGCCCAATGTAGCGGAAGTCATGAATGTCATCGGCGATGTCGAAGGACGCACCTGTGTATTTATTGACGATATCGTGGACACTGCCAGCACACTGTGCGAAGCTGCGCAAGTGCTCTCCCAGAAAGGCGCGCTGGCAGTGAAAGCCTATTGCACGCACCCAGTTCTGTCAGGAAACGCCATAGAACGCATAAACGACTCGACTATGGATGAACTTGTGGTGTGTAATTCAATAAATCTTTCCGAGAAAGCACAAAAGTGCAATAAAATTCGTCAACTCGATGTATCGCAATTGATCGGAGAAGCAATTCGTCGGATTTCTATCGGAGACTCTGTCAGTTCAATCTTTGTAGACTAGTACATTCAAACCCTAAGTAAAACGGTTAAAAAGGAAATAACCCAATGAGTACCAATTTCACAATAGAATTAACGCCGCGCGAAGATTTCGGTTCTTCAAATAGTCGCAGATTGCGACGCGAGGGAATGGTGCCTGTCGTAATTTACGGCGCCGACAAGAAAAACGCCCATTATGTGACTGAGCATGATTCATTGGTGCACATCCTTGAAGTCGAAGCATTTCACTCTGCCATCATTGATGTCAAGGAAAGCGGTAAGAAACAGGGAGCAATTCTTCGAGAAGTTCAAATGCACCCATACAAATCGCAAGTGATGCATGTAGACCTGCAACGTGTGAAAGCGACTGAGACGATTTCGCTTCGGGTTCCGCTCCACTTCATTGGCGATGATATTGCACCTGGAGTGAAAACCACCGGAGGTATATTTTCTCGGCTCATAGTAGATGTTGAAATCCAGTGTTTGCCGAAGAATCTTCCGGAATTTTTGGAGGTCGATGTAAGTGAGCTTGAGTTGAACCAGGCGGTGCATATTTCAGACATTGTTCTGCCAGAGGGCGTCGAATTGACTACCGCCTATCACGATAGCGACGACTACGCGATTGCTTCCGTCACGCCGTCCAAAATCTCGGCAGATTTTGATCAAGAGGAAGCAGAAGCAGAAGCAGAAGAGCTGGAGCTCGCTACCGTTGCGCCACCGGAGGTCGAATCATCGGATTGATGGGCTGTTTGATTTTCGTTTACACCGGCTCAATCCCAAGAAAATCGACATAGCTCTGCGCTTCTCGCACGTCAAGCATAGTACAGTGAATCATGACGCAGACGCGCGCAATCATCGGTCTTGGTAACCCTGGCGAACAATATCGACACACCCGTCATAATTGCGGTTTTCGATTTATCGACGCTTTAGCTGCACAGTGCCAACTACAGCTAAAGCTCAATCCTCGCTTGAAAGCGAATCTAGTTCGCACGACAGTTTCTGAGGTGCCGGTTTGGCTGGTAGAACCAATCACGTACATGAACCGAAGCGGCACCGCATTTCAGTTAGTCACGAATTACTACGACATCGATCCGGGAAACGCCATCGTAGTGCATGACGACCTGGATCTTCCAGCGGGAGTCGTACGGCTGAAATTGACCGGAGGGCATGGCGGGCACAATGGTCTCAGCGACATCATTTCCAGAACCGGAAACTCAGATTTTCTACGGATACGCATCGGTATCGGCCGCCCCAATCCAAAGCTCGGCACCATTCCCTACGTACTGAGTACTCCGTCATTGCACGATCAGAATCTTATTGACGACGCAATTTCCGATGCATTGGATTCGCTTCCAGAAATTCTGAGGGGAAATCTGGAACGAGCGATGAAAGCACTGCACAGCAGGCCCAAAGCAACCGAATCCTCACTGGGTGCCTGACCCGCACAATCTGGCGATATGGGTTTTCGGTGCGGAATCATCGGCGTGCCGAATGTCGGCAAGTCCACTCTGTTTAATGCACTGACAGGCTCTCAAGTAGCAGCGGAGAACTTTCCGTTCTGTACCATCGAATCGAATGTCGGAGTAGCATTCGTTCCGGAACCTCGGCTTCCAGATATTGCGAAAATCACAGGCGTTGAAACGCAAGTCCCGGCAGTGATTCAATTTGTAGATATCGCTGGCTTGGTGGAAGGGGCATCACGTGGTGAAGGACTTGGAAATCGATTTCTAGGACATATTCGCGAGATGGACCTGATCGCTCATGTGATCGGTGGGTTCGATGAAAAAAACGATTGGAAAGACGAAATCGACATCGTCAGTCTGGAGTTGATTCTGGCAGACCTGGAAACAGTACGCAAGGCGACAGAAAAAGCATGCAGACGTGCCCGAATCGGAGACAAAATACAGCAGAAAGCTGCTGCTGTGCTCAAAACTGTCGAATCATTGCTTGAACAGGGAAAGCCGTTCAGTGGGGTTGAACAGGATGCGGAAGAACAGGAGATCATCCGCAACCTGCATCTATTGACGAGCAAGCCCAAATTCTACATATTGAATGTCAGCGAAGAACAGCTGCTACTCTCTGATGGTGTTATAGTAGATGATTTGAAGGCTCCCATGGTAACAATCTGTGCGAAAATTGAATACGAATTGGCACAATTGTCGGAGGGACGAACAAATTTCATTTCGTGCAGAACTCGGTGTCGATGTTTCCGCTCTAGATAATGTAGTGCGTACAGGTTACTCTCTACTTGGATTACAGACATTTTTCACTTTCAACGAATCCGAGGTTCGAGCCTGGGCATTTCCAAGAGGAACGACCGCGAAACAGGCAGCCGGAATGATACACACAGATATGGAAAAAGGGATTCATTCGGGCGGAAGTGATGTCAAGCGAAGATCTCCTGTCTTACGGAACTGAGCAAATGGTGAAAGATGCTGGTCGGGTGCGTATTGAAGGCAAATCATATGAACTGAAGGAGGGAGAAATCATTCGGATTCGATTCAATTCTTGACAGATACTATCCAACAATCCTGGGATCCTGAAGCACTGCTAAAAGCCTTCAGAAGTGCTTATCTCGCAGATGAATCTACCGTCGTGCACAGCTTGCTCGAGCAAGCTCCGCTGACTGAAATTCAACGTCTGAGTGCTAGCCAAAGGGCAACCGAACTGGTTACAACGGTACGTGATTCCAGCTCCCCACGAATCATGTCATCGTTTCTCTCCGAGTATGGCTTGACATCACAAGAAGGAATTGCACTGATGTGTCTGGCTGAGGCTCTTTTGCGAGTGCCCGACACCACCACAATTGACACTCTGATCAGCGACAAGATTTCTGCAGCACATTGGGGAAAGCATCTTGGGCATTCAAGCTCATCCTTAGTCAACGCCTCAACGTGGACATTGTTACTGACCGGCAAGATTCTGAAAGAAGCAGATGTCGGCGATGTCGCAGACACACTTCGACGCATCGTAAAAAGACTCGGAGAGCCCGTGGTCAGAGTGGTTGTCGCACAAGCAATCCGAAGGATTGCGGATCAATTCATCCTTGGAACGACGATCGAATCTGCGACTGAGCGGGGCGAAGGACTTGTACGCAAAGGCTATGGATACTCTTATGACATGCTGGGTGAGTCGGCCCTGACAGCCGATGATGCAAGGCGTTACTGGTCCTCCTATTTTCAGGCCATTGAGTTCATAGCAAGCAAATGCAACTCCGACAATTTCTGGGAAAATCCTGGAATTTCCGTCAAGCTGTCGGCACTTCACCCCCGATATCAGTCAACACAAAGAGAATTTATATTAGATGAGCTGGTTGACTCCGTTCTGTCGCTCGCACAGCTTGCGAAGAAAGCGAACATGGGATTCAACATTGATGCGGAAGAGGCAGACACGCTGGACCTGTCTTTGGAAGTCATCAAGAGGACTCTATCCAATCCGTCCCTGAAAGGCTGGCATGGATTTGGGGCTGTTGTTCAGGCATACAGTCCGAGCGCACGCTTTGTCATCGACTGCCTATATGGTCTTGCCGAGAAGTTGATCGTAGAATCATGCTGCGACTTGTAAAGGGAGCTTACTGGGATACTGAAATCAAACGCGCACAAGTGCTGGGGATTTCCACCTTTCCTGTGTTCACGAGAAAGTGTTCGACCGATTTGTCCTACCTCTCCTGTGCCCGACGTTTACTTGATTTGAACGATCGAATTTATCCCCAGTTTGCGACTCACAATGCACACACTATTTGTGCGGTGATGGCCATGACAGACAGCCACCACAGATTCGAGTTTCAGAGACTTCACGGCATGGGAGAAGAAGTTCACGAGGTGGCTAGAAAAAAATTTGGATACCATTGCAGAATCTATGCTCCGGTGGGTGCCCGCGAAGACCTTCTTGCTTATCTCGTGCGGAGAATTCTGGAGAATGGGGCAAATAGTTCTTTCCTGAATCAACTGGTGGACACGGACATTCCGGTGGGAGAAGTCGCTTCAGACCCAATCGAGAAGGTTCGAGAACTGAGGCATTCAATACCAAATCCGTCGGTACGGAAGCCAAGCAATATCTTTGGCGATTCAAGAACAAATTCCAAAGGCATCGATCTAGCGGATGTCAATGCAATGAAAGCGCTGTACGGAGAGATGGAGCAATACCGAAACAGCGAATGGCATGCTGGTCGGTCCGATTTGGTTTCTGATCCAAACAACCCGACGGAAGTCATATGTAATCCTGACACACCCACGAATCCAAGTAGGCACGGTTGTTCAAACTGAATCGGCACACATAAACGAAACCATTGAACGCGCGCAGTCGAGTTTCAAACAGTGGAGTAACACGAATGCTTCAACTCGTTCCGAATTACTCAATCGCGTCGCCGACGCTTATGAAAAGCACTCGCCAGAATTGATAGCCTTGATGATTCAGGAAACTGGCAAGACGATTGCCGATTCAATTTCCGAAGTGAGAGAGGCAGTGGACTTCTGTCGATTCTATGCAAACGAAGCCATTCGGCTGGAATGTTTGCCCGATCACTGTGCCCGTGGAGTCATTGCCTGCATCTCGCCTTGGAATTTCCCACTCGCAATTTTTACCGGTCAGATTACCGCCTCACTTGCAGCTGGAAATTCGGTGATTGGAAAACCTGCTGAGCAGTCGTCGCTGACCGGTGCAAGAGCGGTAGAGCTCATGCACCAAGTCGGTATTCCGAAAGATGTTGTGCAGTTTCTTCCTGGCTACGGCGAAACCGTCGGAGCGATGCTTTCAGCGGACGAACGCATTTCCGGAATCTGTTTCACAGGCTCTACCGATGCGGCTATAGCCATCTACCGATCAATGGCGAAATCATGCGATATAGAGGCGCCTCTCATTGCTGAAACAGGAGGGCTGAACGCAATGATCGTGGACTCTACTGCATTGCCGGAGCAGGCTGTCAAAGATATTATCGCATCGGCATTTCAGAGCGCAGGACAAAGGTGTTCTGCATTGCGTATTCTGTATGTACAGAACGAAATGGAATCGCGGCTGCTCAAAATGCTTTTTGGTGCCATAGAACAATTGAGAGTAGGTGACCCATGGGATATTTCAACTGATGTCGGACCGATCATTGACGAACACGCACAAAGCGACCTGCTGGACTATTGCAACAGGATGGAAAGCGAAAACCGCCTGCTATATCAGCGAGAACTTTCTGCTCATCTTGACGGCTATTTTGTGCCTCCGAGTGTATTTCGCGTGTCAGGAATTGAGGAACTGGAGCGTGAGATTTCGGACCCATTTTGCATGTAGCTACATATGATTCTCGAGACATTTCCAAGGTAGTGGAAAGCATCAACAAAACCGGATACGGGCTTACGTTCGGGCTTCATACGCGAATTGACCGGCGGGTTCAACAGCTGTCTGAAAGCGTGAACGCCGGGAACATTTATGTAAACCGCAACCAGATTGGAGCAGTAGTAGGATCTCAGCCTTTCGGCGGAAGAGGTCTGTCCGGAACTGGACCCAAAGCTGGCGGACCCTACTATGTTGCTCGTCTTCGACGATTTGGGAAATTCAAACAAACAGCTGATCTTGAGTATCCTGCTGAAACAAGAGGCGATACTCGTGAATCACTTCGCAGATTGGTAAAACTGCAATCGGATTGGGCTTGTAAGGAGGACCGAATATCCATTTTGAGGTCAGCAGTGGCGGACCGATCTGAACTCTTGGAGATATTGGCGCAGACGGCCAAATTAGTCCCTTCACCTATCGATCTTGAGGGGCCTACAGGTGAAAGCAACCGCATTTACCTGCACCCGAAGGGCGTGTTTATTTGTATTGGATCAGACACACATGTCCTGCAGGCACTGGCCACCGGAAATGCAGTGCTGGGTGTTGGTATTGAAAGTCAACTTATTGCAAACTTGCAATCTTCAGGCGCGCCGATTTTACAAAGCCAAGTGATGCCGGACTCCGCGACGATTACGTTATCTAGCGACTTTGTTGGAATCGCTGTGGGTGACTACCCACAAGAGTTGTTGAGAGACAATTCGATCGGAACTCGTGTCAAGACAAGGCGCGATCATTCAACTCACTACAGATCAGGGGGCGCCTTGGCTCTTCATCGTAGAAAAATCAGTGTGTATTGACACAACTGCAGCGGGCGGTAACGCTAGACTATTTATTGAATCCGGATCGTGAATTTACAATATGTCAGTTCCACTATTCGATTGAGCACAATCAATTCTTTTAGCCCAACCAACTACTCTCATTTATTGGATAATTGCTCATGACTTTTATATCGCTCTGCGATATGTCAAGGCATATCATTTTTTAGCGAAACCAGTAGAATTCAAATTCAAAACAATTAGCCAAGAGAAGAATTAATGAAAAAGCAATTCGACATGATAGTGATCGGCGGTGGAAGCGGCGGTATAGCGGCGGCACGGCGAGCAAGCGAATACGGAGCCAAGTGTGCAGTGATTGAAAATCACAAATTAGGGGGGACTTGTGTTAATGTCGGATGCGTGCCCAAAAAAGTAATGTGGACCACTTCGCGAATAGCAGAAACCCTTCACGATGCCGCTGATTATGGATTTTCAGATCAAAAACGAAGGATTCGACTGGGCAGTTATCAAGAAGTCTCGCGATGCGTATATTGCCCGTCTGAATGATATTTATGCTGTTAATCTTGAGAATTCCGATGTCGCCCATATTGAAGGAACAGCTCGCTTTACCACATCCAACACCCTGCAAGTAAATGACGACGAATTTGAAGCAGCCCACATTCTGATAGCAACCGGCAGCCGACCTGTTATTCCAAACGTCGCTGGCTCAGAATATGGCATATCCAGCGACGGATTTTTCGAGATGGAGGAACTTCCTGCAAAGGTTGCAATAACAGGTGCTGGCTACATTGCCACCGAGTTTGCCGGTATGCTGCATGGACTTGGAAGCCAGGTGACTATGATTCTGCGAAAAGATCAGCTATTGCGCGGATTCGATTCTTCCATTACCTCAGTAGTCATGTCCGAAATGCAGCGAACTGGAGTGGAATTCGTACTGAATACCTCGGTTACCGAATTAAAAAGAAAGAATTCAAAGCTCTCAGTCAAGTTGGACAATAGCACTTCACTAAATGAAATCGACCAATTCATATTTGCAATCGGGCGCGTACCGAATTCTCAATCGCTTAATCTCGAAAGTGCAGGCGTGGAACTCAATTCTCGAGGCTACATTGAAGCAGACAAATTTCAGAATACATCTTGTAAAGGCGTTTATGCAGTTGGAGATGTAACCGGCCGCGTCGCATTGACGCCTGTTGCCATTGCCGCAGGTCGTAAACTTTCAGATCGGTTGTTCGGTGGCCAAAGCGACGCATATCTGGACTACGAGAACATCCCTTCAGTCATTTTCAGCCATCCACCCATTGGCACAGTAGGGTTGAGTGAAGACGCAGCAAGGGCTAAGTTTGGAGACGATGTAAAGGTCTATTCAAGCCAGTTTCAGAATATGTACTATCAGGTTACGAACCGAGGTTCGCCTACTCTAATGAAGCTTGTTACCACGGGTGAGAATGAAAAGATCGTTGGCTGTCATATCGTCGGAGATTTTGCTGACGAAATGATTCAGGGATTTTCAGTCGCAGTAAAGATGGCAGCATGCAAACGCGATTTCGATAATACAGTTGCAATTCATCCAACTGTAGCAGAAGAATTTGTGACCATGCGGTAAAGCAAGGGTATGGAAGCCGCCTATTTCAACATCTTCGTCATTTTTCATAGGCGGTGCAGTGACTGCAGGCTGATTGATTAAAGTACCTTTCTGACGGCATCAATCACCGAATTGGTTTCTGGCTTTTTGCCGTGCCAGAGAAAAATGATTCCGCTGCCTGCTCTACCAGCATTCCGAGTCCATCGGCAGTATTAGTGGCGCCATGCTCGATTGCCAACAATTGAAATTGGGTTGGTCGCGCTGCGTACATCATGCTGTAAGCCAATTGAGCATCCTGAAATACTCCAGAAGGAATTTCCGGCAAGCTGCCAGTCAATTCGCTTGAGGTGGCATCAATCACGATATCGTAGGTTCTGCCTCGAACTTCGTCCAAGCCGCCACTGATAATGTTCCCATACTGCGCGAACACGTCGGCCAGCGCAACGGCTTTGTCTTTAGTTCGGTTTGCGACAAATACTTGTTCGGGTTGTTCCGCCAAGATTGGTCCCAGAACTCCGCGAACTGCACCTCCTGCGCCGACTATCAAAACGCAGGCATCCCTGATATCGACTCCCAGTCTCGTCTTAATGTCGGTTACCAACCCGATACCATCGGTATTGTCACCCTTGACGGTCTTTCCTAAGGACAGCGTATTCACTGCACCGGCCAAATTCGCTCGATCACTCAACACATCGGCGAACTTCCACGCATTGAGTTTGAATGGTACGGTTACATTGAGGCCTTGTCCGCCGTTCGCTTCAAAACCGCTGACTGCTTGCTCGAAACCGCCAATTTCTACATGAACCGCGCGATATTCAAGATCGATGTCAAACTGCTTGGCGAAGAGAGCTATGTACCAGAGGCGATTTGCTGTGCGAGATCGGGTTCCCGAAAACTGCGTATAACTGCCGCTTGGGTTTGAAATCGAAAATGTCACTCATCTATGGATATCTATTTGTACCCGACGCGATGTCGCAATATGGAATCCCTTTCCTCGCAACAATTTGCATTTCTGACAATGTTCCGCGCTCAATTGCCCGGCAATGCCGCTATCCACACTACTGAGTACCGAATAGCCTGTCCCCAGCGTCTCCAAGTCCAGGAAGGATATATCCGTGATCGTTCAACTCTCGGTCCAATGCAGCAGCATATAGTTCAACATCCGGATGTACTTGCTCAAAAGCTGCAACACCTTCTGGAGCTGCCAACAGACACAGAAATTTAATTTTTTTTGCACCAGACTGTTTTAAACGCTCCGCTGCTGCGATAGCTGTATTCGCTGTGGCGAGCATAGGGTCTACAATGATTGCAAGCCGTTCGCTAATGTCAGGCGGCACTTTGTAGTAATACTCGACTGCAATCAGCGTCTCGGGATCACGGTAGAGTCCTACGTGCCCCACGCGAGCGCTCGGAATAAGGTTCAACACCCCGTCGAGAAGACCGTTGCCAGCACGGAGTATGGAAATGAAGCAAAGTTTCTTGCCGGATATGAAAGAAGACTCAATTCTTTCGAGCGGAGTTTCAATGGTACGGAATTCCGTAGGCAGATCACGCGTCACTTCATAGGCGAGTAGCATGGCAACTTCACCAACCAACTGTCGAAACAGTTCCATTTTTGTATTCTTGTCCCGCATCAGACTGAGCTTGTGTTCGATTAGCGGGTGTTCGACGACATGAAGTGTCACAACATTTCTCCTTTCAATAGATATTACTTACGGTAACGCACAAGAATGATTTCGATCGTTATTGGTTGCTGAAAATACCGTCAATTCAGCCGTTTCCAAAATTTTCAATATTCCCATTGCGAGTCTAAAATGTTAGAATCTTGCTTGCTTAATTGTACTATTGGAAAATCAGCAAATCGTTCCGCTTGACATATTATCGAATATGGATAATCTTGAACTACTACAACTCGCTCAACACCAAGCGAAACTCGGTGCAGCTGAAGGCGGGCACGCTGTCGGTGCAGTGTTGGCTAAAGATGGTGAAGTTCTCGCGGCAGAGTATGACCGCACTATTCAACTGAACGATCCAATCGCACTGGCAGAATTTGAATGCATCCGAGCAGCAGGGCGGCGAAACGACCACGCTGAACTATCAATTTACAGCACAAATTCGCCAAATCTGCTGGTCGCCGGTGTCGTTATTCAATTTGGTATTGGTGCATTGATTGTCGGTGAAGCTGAAGACACCACTTCCCGTGCCATCGAGTTGCTACGATCTAAGTCGGTGCTGCTGACATGGATCGACAACGTTTAAATCCCAGGAGTTGAAGGAATCGAGAAGTGACAAACTGGTCAAGACGTCTGTCAGACATGACAGACACCGATAAGATTTTTCTGACACAAGCACTGACGGAAGCGCGCCATGGATTTGATCAAGGCGGAGTACCGGTTGGAGCGGTCATGGTACGTAGTGGACAGATTGTCGCCCGTGGAAGAAACAAGCGGGTGCAGGAAAATGATCCCGTCATGCATGGCGAAACCGATTGTCTGAGAAACGCCGGGCTAATGGAAGACTACAATGACACAGAAATGTATACAACGCTGAGTCCTTGCATGATGTGCACTGGTGCGATTCTGCACTTCGGGATCAAGCGCGTGGTTATCGGAGAAAACATAAATTTTCCAGGCAATATCGAACTCCTGCTGGACTTCGGTGTTAAAGTGGCACTTGCAGACGATCCGGCCTGCAAAAATTTGATGGCACAATTTATCCGGAAATATCCCGAACTGTGGTTCGAGGATATTGCCGGGCGCAGTCATACTTAGGTTACATAGATTTTGGTCAAACGGACCTGTGGAGAATTTTCGTCTCAAAAGAATATTTAAGTGTTCCGGCACGGTCATCCTGCCGGTCATTCACGTTCTTGACTTTGAACAAACCCACCGTAATGTGGAAATTGCCGTCCACGAGGGTGCATCCGGCGTTTTTCTCATCAACCATGATTTTGGAATTGATGAGTTTCTTCCAATTATTCGCAAAATACGCAGAAACCTTCCAAATCTATGGTTCGGCGTAAATTTTCTTGGCGTCGGAATTTCAGACGCGCTGCCGATTCTTGAAAAATTGCAGTGTGAAGATGGATGCGAAGTTGATGCGTACTGGGCGGATGATGCCAAAATTAACGAAACATGAGCGAAACCGACCAGCCTGCTGTCAAACTCTGGCAGGATAACATGATCAAAAGTGAATGGGAGGGACTTTACTTTGGCGGCGTCGCATTCAAGAAACAGCGCTCGGTAGACCCAGCCAATTTCTTGCGAGCCGCACAAATCGCAGCAAATAGTATCGATGTAACAGTCACATCCGGCAGTGCAACAGGAGTTGTTGCATCATTGGAAAAAATCAGAGCTTTTCGACAAGGTTGCAAAGAAGCGGCACTCGCCGTTGCTTCAGGAATAACTCCAGAGAACTTCCACCAATACGGTAACCTCCTTGATGCAGTTCTGGTAGCGACTGGAATCAATGTACCAGGGGATTTCTACAACATCGATCCATCAAGACTTCGAAGACTGCTAGATGAAGCAAAGTCAGATTCACACCGAAACCAAGTCGCAAGCGAACTCGGTGCATGGTATATGGATCTTATGGCGCCGCGTTCTCGCGGCAAACGGTATGCGTGGCTAGATCCGAGTTCAGCTTACATCAATACTCATTCGTTCAACGCAATTATTGATGATCTCGTCAGGCCATTCTGTGTAGATTCCATCGATGTCGTAGCGGGTATCGACGCGGCTGGATTTGTTTTGGCAGGAGCCTTGGCAGTTCGATTGAACAAAGGTGTGCTCACACTTCGCAAAGGCGGTAAAGTGCCGGTGGCCTATGACGTGGTTTCAATGGTAAATTACTCCGCCCAAACTCAGGAATTGGAAATGAGAAAACCCGCATTCTCATCTGGAACCAAAGTTCTTCTCGTAGACCAGTGGATCGAAACAGGCGGCACAATGGATGCCGCGATGCGACTGATTGAGCGACAAGGGGGTGTGGTGGCTGGAATTGCGGTTATCTGTGTGGAGGAAAACACATTCACAAATCAAATGCGAAAAAAATATAAGGTTTCAAGTTGTGTATTGCCGGACTCCGATTTGCAGAGCCAGTGCAACCAACAGACTCTAAACAGTTTCGCAAAATTCAACCCGGAAAGTTGTTTTCCGGATACTGACGAAAAGAACTAAACTAAATAGTCAAAACGAACTAATATTTTCTTATTGATATAACTGAAGGATGAATTTCAATGGACAAACAACATCAACCTCAGAGAAGGGATTTTCTGAAAAAATCGGTAACAGCAGCTGGAGCATTGGCAGCACCTCTCCTGATTACAAGCCGAAAATCTTGGGCTGAAACAGTTGAGCTGAATATGCTCGCGTGGTACGGGCACGGCGAACCTGACATGGTCGAAGAGTTTGAAGCGCTGCACAACGTAAAATTCAAAGCCAAATACTATGCTGGCGGCGACAATATGCTCGCGCTGATTGCTCAATCACCACCGGGAACTTACGATGTAATTCTGTCAGATGCGGAATTTGTACAGCTACTCAACGCAGCAGGCTACATTATCGAACTCAACCCCGCCGACTACCCGTTCGAGGACTTCCTTGTTGATGCTTTCAGGAAGTATCCTGGCCACTGGGACGGCGATAAACTCAGTTCAGTCATGGTTCGCTTCGGGCACCTAGGTGTTTCATATAACACAAAGGCTGTAACCGAAGCAGAAGCAATGAGCTACAAGTGTTTTTGGAAACCAGAGCTGCAAGGAAAAGTCGGACACTTCGACTGGCATCTTCCCAGCTTGGGAATGATGAGCCTGTACAACGGAAACAACAATCCGAGCCCGTTCGACATTTCCAGTGATGCATGGGACAAAGTACAGGAAACTACCCTCACTCTGCGTCCGCAGGTAGGTGGATTTTTCGACTATGGCGGTACTTTCAATTCCCTAAAGAATGAAGAAATGCTGGCAACCTGCGGAATCGGCGACTGGATTACGGGTGTTCTGCAAAGGACGGTGCATCTGTTGCGTCAGTAGTACCTGAAGAAGGCGGAATTCAATGGACCGAGTCTTATTCAATTGGCAAAGGATCGAAACATGTGGACTTGGTCACACAGTTCATTCAGTATATGCTGAGTCCTACCGGACAGGCCCGCTCCGCTCAGATGGCGGCTTATCCAGGATTTTTGCGTAACTCACTCTGGCGCAGCAGAATTGCGCAAGGTCAATCTGGCCGAAGCCGAACGTACAGGACAGATTGAGGGTGCGCCGAACAATCCGCTGAAACTGATTGAAAACAGACGAATTCATTTCCGAGACATTCCCCGCCAGCAGTCTCTTGAGGACTGGAATGATTTTTGGTCAGAGTACAAAAATGCTTAACTGACCGGCTTGATATCCAATTTGGACTATGTATGATGAACAGGCAGAGAAGCATCGGCTTCTCTGCCTGTATGCTTTAATTCGGCGGTGGGCTGAAAATCTGTAGCAAGTGATATTTTCATTTTTCCCAGCGCCGTTAGTCATCAGCATCAATCAGATGGAGGCCGTCGGCAGCTATTCACTGAATCTCTCGCCTTGCCCACACAGAAAGAGTTCGATCAATCACTCAATTTCGGGCTAGTTCAGTCATCGTTCAATTTGAAGTAGGCTATGCGCGAAAAATATGACATTTACGCACTGACGTGGCGCTCTCCCATGTTGATATGGCAGGCGTTGTTCTTTATCGGACCACTGCTATTCATGATTGCAATCACTTTTTTTCTAGTGAAAAACTATCGCATGACGGAAGCATTCGAGATGAAGAACTGGATCAAGATGTTGACGCGCGGTTATTTCTGGGACTCTTACTTCCTGACATTTTGGCTCGCTACCTTTGTCCACCGCAACTGCTACCATCCTCGCATTTCCAGCTTCGTACGCGCTCGCATTCAAAACTTCTGATACGGTGCGTAGGTGGGCGATATTCTTTCTAATCATCCCATTTTTCACCAGCTATCTCGTAAGAACGTTTTCCTGGTATGTGATTCTGGCGGAATCCGGTGCATTGAATGCCGTTTTCAGTTGGTTCGGAATTGGACCCTTTACTATGCTGAATACACCATTTGGAACGATCGTCGGCTATATGACATTGACACTGCCTCTGGTAGTCGTTCTTCAGACACTGTCTCTGGCCAACGTCAATCGCGACCTTATTGAAGCGGCATGGAATCTCGGTGCAGGATGGGCTCGTACAGTCTTTACAGTCATTGTTCCGCTTGCAAAGACTGGACTGATCATTGGCGCAGTCATTTGCTTTATTCTTTCATATGGAGATTTCGTTGCGCCGTACTACCTAGGCGGGTCGAAGCCACCGACCCTTTCGATTTTGATCATCGATACAACGAAGTCCGGCCAGCAATGGCCGAGAGCGGCTGTTGTCGCCGTTATGATGATGGTTACGCTGATGAGCGTGGCCTTTACTGCAGTCATGATTGCATACCGCCGAAGATCATGACAATGCAAGCCAATAAAATTACCAACCTGTTGCTCAAGGCGTACCTTGTTGCGGTTTTTGTTTTCATATTTACTCCGATCATCACCAGCATGATCTTCTCTTTTAATTCTGATCGCTTCGCATCCATACCACTTGGTTCGTTCACCCTTCACTGGTACGAAATTGCCTATAACGACCCAGATGTTTGGGATGCTGCGAGAACTAGCATGACGGTCGCAGTTCTGGTCTCCGTGCTGTCAACATTCATTGGCTTCTGCACTGCCTACACCGATTTCCGATATTCGTTTAGATTCAAGAGCGGATATCTGGCTCTGGCACTTCTTCCGCCAACCATTCCGCTGATCATCATGGCACTGGCGATGCTTGCCTGGTTTTCTAAAATTGGAGCTTCCGGGCAACTCTGGTCTATCGTTATCGCTCACACTGTTTTGTGTTCTCCGTTTGCAATGGCAGTCATCCGACTTCGCTTGCAGCAGATGGATCGCGATCTGGAAGCCGCGGCGTGGAATTTAGGTGCGAGTGAATGGGCAACAATGCGATACGTTGTCGTGCCATTCGCCAAGCCAGCCATCATTTCCGCACTGTGCCTGACAATGGCGGTTTCCTTTGACGAGTTTGTTGTGGCGTGGTTTGTATCAGGGCTGAACAAAACAATCCCTGTGATCATTCTCGAAATTTTACAGGGCAATGTGGACCCGCAGATCAACGCGATTGGCACTTTTGTATTTATTACCTCCATGACGTTGGTTATCATCGCACAGTTGGTATTTACATTGCGCTCTCCTAGAAAAACCTATATCTGATCGAAACACAATGAGCGAACCGCAGATCGTATTCGAAAATGTCGTCAAGAATTTCGGCCAGGTGTTAGCGGTTGAACGCATAAACCTAACAGTGCACGCCGGTGAGTTTCTGGGAATAATGGGGTCAAGCGGTTGTGGAAAAACAACCATTCTACGCATGCTGGCTGGCCTCGAAACGCCAACGGAAGGCGAAATTCGATTGAACGGCAAACGAATCAATGAACTGAAGCCTTCTGAACGGGAGACTCCCATGGTGTGGCAGACACTGGCACTTTTCCCGTTTCTATCGGTACAGCAAAACGTCGAGTTCGGACTGAAAACCAGAGGCATCGGGGAACCCGAACGAAAACGAAGAGCCATGCAATGGCTAGAACGAATGGAAATTCCCGAACTTGCAAACCGGCGAATTGATCAATTGTCCGGCGGTCAGAAGCAGCGCGTGGCGCTCGCTCGAGCACTTGTCACAGAGCCGCCAGTTTTGCTGCTTGACGAACCGTTGAGCGCACTGGATGCGAACCTTGTTGTGCGAATGCAAGGTGTTCTCTCCCGCTTGCAGAAAGAACTCGGCATCACTTTTATTTATGTCACCCATAGTCAATCTGAAGCGTTCGCTATGACCGACCGCGTGGTCATTATGAGCAAAGGGCATATAGAACAAATCGCGACTGCACAAGAAATTTTTCGACGACCAGCCAATCGTTTTGTTGCAAAGTTCGTCGGATCAAATAATATTCTGACAGGCAAGATCACAAAAATTGAGCACGACCTGTTGACTATTGACACAAACATCGGCCAAGTAACGGCAACAGTTCCAGAAAAGCGAAAGTTCAGGGTCGCAGAAGATGCTGAAATTGTCATTAGCGCAGATTTGATTTCACTGAGTTCAAATTCAACGGGGGCCGTCAATGAATTTCCCTGCAACTTGATTAGCGAGGAATTCGTCGGATCAATCATCGGACTTCTCGTAGAAACTCGAAACGGAGTTGAAATGAAAATCCAAAAACAGCAGCACGAAATTGAGCAGTTGCGATTGCATAGCGATCAGAACCTGTGGATACGCTGGCAGCCACAAAACGCATATATATTGCCGCCTCAAACCACTTAAGAAGAGAATCAAACATGAACCAGCAAAGAGTTTCAACTCATATTTCGCTTACCTCTCACCCGGGTAAGGAAATGACGCCGGCGCCAATCGTATGGGGTGCAACCAGTGCAAGAGCGCGGCCCAGTCGTTGGGCTTCCAAGCGACTCGAAACATCGAAACGCCATTGGCACTCACTCGGGATCTTATGCAGTGTATCGGGCGCTTGCCGTGGCCACTGGTACGTTGGATCCGTTTCACAAGCCAGATCTGACCAATACTGCACCGGCGGTAAACATCGGACCGCACCCGCAGTGGTTTAGTCAGGATGGCATTGTTTCGATTGATCCCTGGGGGCATCTGGTGGGTAACGTGTTCGATGACTTTATCAAAAGCGGGAACAGTATCCGGCCAACGATCGCGGTGACCCGAGCGCGTTTGACAGTGCCGGAACTGAGGGCGGGAGCAAGTGGAGCAGATCTCGAACCAGACGGGAAAATTCTGATGGATTCAGGTGAGGTGAATGTTACCAAAGTTGCAATTGAACCGGTTTGGTATCTTACAGGCATCGCCAATCGTTTTGGCGTAGAGGAGCACGACTTGCGTCGGGCGCTCTACGAACAGACTGGAAATATGTTTTCCGAACTGGTTACGCGACTAGACCTAAAACTATTTCTCCCTCCTATTGGTGGAATCACGCTGTATATTTTTGGAGAGCCAAGTGCGATTGCCAGCGATGAACATAAGCTTTCATGCAGAGTACATGATGAATGCAATGGCTCGGATGTATTCGGCTCGGATATTTGTACCTGTCGACCGTATCTGATTCACGGAATTGAAGACAGTATCCGAACCGCACAAGAAAATGGCGTTGGACTGGTCGTCTACAACCGAAAAGAAGGTCGTGCACTCGGAGAAGTCACGAAATTCTTAGTCTATAACGCTCGCAAACGTCAAGAGGGCGGCGATTCAGCGGAACACTATTTTGAGAGAACTGAATGCATCGCCGGCGTACAGGACATGCGATTTCAAAAACTGATGCCGGATGCACTCAACTGGCTAGGAGTGAATCGAATCGACCGCTTCGTATCCATGAGCAACATGAAATACGATGCACTAGTCGAGCAAGGGATCGAAATTGTTGAGCGTATCTCGTTACCGGAGGATCGAATTCCGCATGATGCTCGTGTTGAAATGGATGCAAAAATTGCTGCTGGTTATTTTTCTGAAGATACAGCCCCGAGTACCAGTGAACTTGCCGAAGCCCACGGGCGAGGGCTTGAAGAATACTGATGCCCGAATGCGTTTCAGTTGATGCTTGTGATAATCTACTGACAGCCGCTGGCGTACGTCAGCGTTGCAACACCATTACGCAGGCAGTTCGAGAAGGCAGAGGACTCTATTTTGAAATCAATGAAAAGGCGATTGAAACTTGCTCACGTTTTGTTGCAGAGGTCTGCGAGGAAAATTACCCTGATCTGAACATACCGCTTCACGCACGTTGGCGGCATTTTCAAATTGGTAAATTCAACCTTTGGCAGCACTACATTCAGAAGCATCGGATCAATGCTTTGAATGCCGATCAGAGAATGCGTTGCGCTATCGATCTCACTTTCATCAGCGTGCTGCTGGATGCAGGTGCCGGTAACGAGTGGAGTTATCTGGAACCGGTTTCCTGCACCCGACTATCTCGCTCCGAGGGACTGGCCGCTGCATCGGTCCATTATTTCTTTAACGGCTTGGCAGCCCGCAAAAATGATGGATCGATATCTGCGACCGCGAATGATTTGATTCGTGCAAACGCGAAAGATTTATGCACTGTCTTTCAGGTTACCGCCAATAATCGGCTAGCTGGCGTGGAAGGACGTGTAAAACTGCTGAATCAACTCGGCCAAGTGCTGCAAGATTCCACAGACATGAACTGTCCCTCTGACATTGTCAAATCTTTCGCTCTAGATCGAAAACTTGGCAGCTTGGACCTGGCCAAAATTCTACAAACGATTTTGTCGAAATTCAATGCCGTTTGGCCAAACGGAATTTGGGTCGAACAGAAATGCTATGGAGATGCAGGATATCATTCGCTGGCTCCGAAAATCGGGAGTGCAGGAAGGCTTATTCCATTTCACAAACTTTCTCAGTGGCTCAGTTATTCTCTGGTTGAACCGCTACGGTGGGGAGGATGGACTGTAACCAATATTGACGGCCTCACTGGACTTCCTGAATATCGCAATGGCGGTCTGCTGATTGACTCAGGAGTACTGCAGGCCAAGAATCCTGCCATTCTCAAGCACGAGCTGTCCATTAGTTCGGAAGCTGTAGTCGAATGGCGTGCATTGACAGTCAGTCTACTGGATGAGATCGCCGTGCGAGTAAGAAAAATCCTCAATCAAGACTCTGTTGGTTTGCCACTGAGCAGTGTTCTTGAAGGCGGTACCTGGGCAGCAGGCCGTAAAATCGCATACCAAAAAAGAGGGAAATCCATCCCTCCGATTAAGCTGACAACTGATGGCACTGTTTTTTAACTCACATTTCTCCGGTAGCACTCACAAGACTGGTCTCAAAATGTCAGCAGTTCTGCAAAAAATCTGATCTTCACACAGCTCTTCAATACAGCGAACCTGTGCGCGTGACTCTCGGGGTGATGTTCTTCACGCCGGGTGTTGAGCGACGAGAGGCTGAAGCCGATATGGTCAGGTAACATGCAGCGAAACTCCGACCGAAGCTCCCGGATCGGCTGTCGGAGCGCGAGGGACCGGCGGGGTTGCCATGCACGAACACGATTGGCTCACGCGCGCGGTCGATGTAGTGCATCCGTTGATCGGGCGGCGTGGCGAAGAACCGTCTCGCGAATGGATAGAGGCCGTCTGACACCCAGTCCGGGTGGATAGCCGAAGCAGTGCGTTCCAACCAGATCTCTCCGCATTTCGCTCTGGCATCTGCTCGCCCGCCGTGCAGTTATCTGAACAGGCATTGGCGGCGCCGCGGCCGGAACCGGACGATACTATGCGCGTCTCATGAAGGCCCGGAGCGTCGACACGACCATGTCGGGCGCTTCTTCCGCCAGAAAATGCCCGCAATCCTCGAACTCGTGCAGTTCGAAGTCCGTCAGCGCGGACTTCCACCGTTCGAGTTCCTTCTTGCGGAACGCGATATCCTTGAAGCCCCAGAGAAGGAGTGTTGGCTTGTCCGCAAAGGCAGCACGGTCGCCCCAGATCGAACGTAGCCAGCCGCTCGCTCCGACGATATAACCCGGCAGCGCAGCGTTGGCCTCGCGCGCGGTGGGCGACGGTTGCGCGTTGCGGTAATGCGCCATGATCTCCGGCGTCAGGACGCTCCGGTCGCCGACCGCCTTCGGCATCACCTTGTTCACGAATAGGTTGCGATGCCGGATAAGGTACTGGCCGAACCAGCTCGACATCAAGAAGCTGAACGACTTGAAATGGAAGTCGTCGCCGACCGGCCAACACCAGGTGTTCGCGATGACGAGACGCTTGACGCGCTCCGGATGCTTGCGCGCGAAGTCGAGGCCGATCGGCCCGCCCCAATCCGTCATGAACAGGGTGATGTCACGAAGGTCGAGGTGATCGAGAAACGCGGCGAACCGGTGCGCGTGACTTTCCGGATGATGGTCCTCGCACCGGGCGCTGCGCGACGAGAGGCCGAAACCGATATGGTCGGGCGCAACGCAGCGGAACTCCGACCGAAGCACCTGGATCGGATAACGGAATTCGAACGACCAAGTCGGGTTGCCGTGGACGAACACGAGCGGCTCGCCTTCGCCCTCGTCGACGAAGTGCATTCGATGTCCTGATGCTGTTGCGAAGAACTTGCTCTCGAACGGATACATGTCGCCAGACACCCAGTCTGGACGAACAGAATCATTGATTCGGACTGATTTTTTTTGTTGTGGAGCGACAATCAAAATAAGATTTTTTTGGCGTTGGGGTCGAATTTCAAATAATAGCAGAATATTTTGCAGTTTAACTGATTCGATTTAAAACAGTCGATCAGCAACAGGTTGTGAGCATTGTTGAGCCAGACATCGCCGGCAGCCAACAGGCTAGCAGGCCGTAAAATCACATACCAAAAAAGAGGGGAATCCACCCCTCCGATCAAGCTGACAACCGACGGCACTTTTTAAACTCGCATTTCTCCGGCAGCACACACAAGACTGGTCTCAAAATGTCAGCAGCTCTGCAAAAAATCTGATCTTCACATAGCTCTTCAATTCGTCGAAAATAAATAGTTAATAGATTGTCATTAATGACAATCTATTTATAGAATGATGCAAATCATTCAATCCAGTCAAACTAATTGGAGCAATCATCATGCCTCGTAAAAGCTTAAAAGAAGTCAGATCGGAACAAATTCTCGCTGCCTACGTAACCTGCATTGCTCGCTATGGATTTGAAAGCGCAACACAGGAACGGATTGCGGAACAGGCCGGCGTCAAGCGCTCGATCTTACGCCACTATCTTGGCAATCGGGAAGAAATGATTGACGCACTAATCGACCATGTCGAGAAGGATTGGAAGACACAGACTCAGGAACTCGTCAACGCACTGCCACATAGTCGACGCGTCAGCGTATTGCTCGAATTTCTGTTTGACAAAAATTACGCAGTGGATAGAAATTCAATATTGATTTTGCATTCTCTGATTGCTACCGCGGAACAGTATCCTGGCATCAATTCGATGCTTATCGACTGGACAAGTCAATTTGTCCAGATGGTTGAAACTGAACTTCGACTTGAATATCCGGATGTTGCTGCTGATTTGATTTTCAGTGTCGCTTTTGGTGTCGTCGGAATCTACTTCAACATCGATTCATTCGCTTTACATGGCCCCCCGGAGGAGTGGTGGACTGCTTCCAAAAATGCAGCACAACTGCTTGTCAATTCACTTGGAGACATCAAATAATGGAACTATTGACTTCAACAATCTCAGAATATGCGGTCTATGACTGGAACAATCTGCTTGACTACTGGGTATTCATAGCTTCGCTGGCATTTCTGGCGGTAGAGCTTTTGCGACTGCTGATCAAAAAGTCTCTGACCTGGAACATCATTGGCGATGGAATTACCAATTTTCTTACGACGGCTGCTTTTTACGCGCTGTATTACGTAGCACTCGGTTCAACTTATGTCGCAATTTACTACTACTTCTTCGACAACTTCAGAATCAACACAATTCCAACCACTCTCTGGTCAATTGCCATTTGTGTGATACTGGCGGACTTTGTCTACTACTGGGAACACCGTTTCACACACAAGGTGGCCATCGGCTGGGCAACTCACACAGTTCATCACAGCTCGCCTTACTTCAATATTTCGGTCGCTTACAGATTCGGACCGCTGGACGGAGTCTTTCCAGTCTTTTTCAGCATTCCTCTGGCAATTGCCGGTTTCAACCCGTTTCTGATATTCTTTGCAGAAGCGTTTGTACAGCTGTACCAAACGCCTCTGCACACCCAAGCTATTGGCAAATTTCCAAAGCCAATTGAAGCGGTGTTCAACACACCATCCCATCACCGAGTGCATCATGGCAGAAATCCGCAATATCGCGACAAGAACTATGCTGGAATATTCATTGTCTGGGATCGGCTGTTCGGCACCTTTGAAGAAGAGCAGGAAACTGTCGAATACGGAATCGCAACCCCAATAAATTCAGTAAATCCTTTTGTAGTGTGGTTCCATGGGCTTGTACGACTCTCTGAAAAGTTGAAGTCTGCTCGCAGTATTGCAGAAGTTCTAGGGAACTTGTTCATGCCGCCAGAGTGGGTTCCAAATAATTACAGAACAAGATCAAACAGTGCGAAAATCACTGAAAATAGGTGGTGAGCTTTTGTCAGCCAACTCCGCCATCATTAACTTTTTTTACGATGCCGGCAAAAGAATTTTCATCAGGCGTAAACATAGTCGGAATTTTGTCAATTTTTTTATACCTAAATCCTATATTGGTGTTCTTTGGTGTATAAATAGTTCTGAACACCGTGGACGACATTCAAGTGTCCCTGCGGTGCAAATTCAACAGAGAATTCAGGCAAGGAGAGTGTAACAATGAGTGGAAATTTATTGAGTAAGTGTATCGTAACGACAGTTGCAATGCTGTTTGCAATGGCACTTTCATTTACAGCAAAAGCAGATGAAACCTGTATGTCGCCGTACATTGCGAAGATTCTGGGTCAGGAAGATTATGTTTATGTGTGGACACTCGGAGTTGATGGCATAGGCGACGAGCAGGACAAACTTGTTACCATTGACACCAACCCGTCATCCGAATCTTACGGCAAAGTCGTCAATTCGTTGTCCGTAGGTGGGCGTAATGAAGCGCATCATTCTGGACTTTCAGACGACCGCAGGTATCTGTGGGCAGGTGGACTGGATACCAACAAGATATTTGTATTCGACATTCACAGTGATCCACGCGAACCCAGAATGCACAAGATTATTACCGATTTTACAGAAGCCAGCGGCGGATTGGTGGGGCCGCACACATTTTACGCGTTTCCGGGGCGAATGATGATTACGGCGCTTTCAAATAACGCGGACGGTGGTGGTCGAACCGGAATGGCCGAATACAACAACGAAGGCGAATACATCACTACCCACTGGATTCCGACGGATTCCGATTTACGCGGGGCGACCAAGACCGGCAACCTTGCGGACGGGTATGGTTATGATGTCCGAGTGAAAGCAGACCAGAACATCATGCTCACCTCGTCGTTCACCGGCTGGTCCAATTACATGATGGATTTCGGGCAGATGGTAGGTTCCCCCGACGCCATGCAACGTTTCGGAAACACCATGGTCGTCTGGGACATGCATGCACGCAAGCCTTTGAAAGTGCTTGACGTACCTGGAGCGCCTCTGGAAATCCGTTGCGCCTGGGGAGAAGGGAATAATTATTGCTTTACCAGTACTGCGCTGACTTCTCAGATTTGGCTGATTTATCCCGACGACAACGGTGAGTGGCAAGCCAAGGCCGTGTCGGATATCGGCGTCCCTGCAGATATACCGCTACCGGTTGACATATCGATTACAGCAGATAACCAGGGACTCTGGGTTGACACTTTCCTGGAGGGGAAAACACGTTACTTTGATATTTCCGATCCCCACGCACCCAAGCAGGTGTACGAGAAGGTAATCGGCAGTCAGATAAACATGGTCTCTCAAAGCTGGGACGGCAAGCGTGTTTATTTCTCCAGCTCGCTTCTCGGAAACTGGGACAAGACAGGAGATGCCGACGAACAGTACGTAAAACTCTATCACTGGAACGGTGAATCTCTGGAACATAAATGGACGGTTGATTTCTATGAGCAGGGGCTTGGTCGAGCGCATCAGATGCGCTTCGGTTCCTATGCCATGTACGGCAAGCAGCGCCCCTCGGACGCCAACCTCCTGGCATCTGCTTCTCACACCGTCAACTAGTGACTTCCACCTGAGAATCAGGGCTTATGCGTTTACGTGCCAACATGCGGATTTTGTTGGTTTTGATGCTGCCAGCAATCAGCATCGCAGCGTATGGCAATAGTGAAAAAATAGAGTTTCGAGCTCCAGGATGGGGGGCGCTTCCTTACGAAGCGCCCCCTGCCGGTAGCTATGAACTGCCGCCGATCAAGAAAGCTGCAGACGGCATGGTCTTGCGCAGCGACAATTCTCTGGCCCGTCTGCATGATCTTATGAGCGACCGGTTTGTAATTCTGAGTTTCATTTATACGGGCTGCGCAGACCTGAACGGATGTCCGCTTGCCAATGCAGTGCTTTACAAGGTGCAGTCCCGACTTCGCGAACGTTCTGAATTGATGGATGCCGTGCGTCTACTTTCCATTTCATTTGACCCTGAGGTGGACACAGTAGAGGTCACGCACAGACTCGAAGAAGGGGTTCGCGACGATAAAGTCGAATGGGAGTTTCTGACCACTCGCGGGCAGAGTGAACTGCAACCGATTTTAAATGGCTACGGCCAGTTTGTTGCTCGAGAGTTCAATGCGCATGGGGAGTCGACTGATCGATTCACGCACTTGCTTCGCGTATATCTGATTGACCGGGAATTGAGGGTTCGCAATATCTATAGCGTGTCGTTCCTGCATCCCGACATTCTGATGAACGATCTGGAGACGTTGTTACTAGAGTCTTCGAGCAGTTGAGTTTCATAAAGTATACGACGCTCTGTAGAGCCATTGCACTGCTTGGCGTTGTCCTTGTGGCTACGATTGCGGCGACAATGTTGGTCTGGGCTCAGACAAGCGGGGAGTTATCGGAAAATCGCGATTTTGACGTAAGTCAGAGTTACGGCCCGGGAGACGTCAAGGAAGGTTACGAAGACACCAGTTACACGACCCAATCTCGCAGCCTGTTGGAGCGTCGCGGTCGCAGTCTGGATTTAATCCGTTATGCCGAAGAGTTACTGCCCCTGGGTTTACCGCCGGTTCCGATTCCGGCCGACAACCCCCTGAGTCGGGAAAAGATTGAACTTGGCAGACGGCTTTTCTTTGATCGCCGCCTGTCAATCAACGATACGCTGTCTTGCGCAGTTTGTCACATTCCCGAGCAGGGGTTTACCAACAACGAACTGCCCACACCCGTCGGTGTGGAAGGGCGCTCAGTGCTGCGCAATGCTCCCACTCTGTACAATATAGCTTACATGCGTCACCTGTTCTGGGACGGACGGGAATTCAGCCTTGAGAACCAGGTCTGGCAGCCAATTACGGCGCATAGTGAAATGGCCGCACCATCCATCGGATACGTTATCAACAAGATAAAAAGAATCCGTGACTACGACGGACTGTTTGAAGAAGCATTCGATGGTCGCGGTGCAGATATTCAAACCGTGGGGCAGGCGATTGCCAGCTATCAGCGAACATTGCTGGCCGCAGATTCCCCGTTCGATCGCTGGCGATACGGTAATCAGAAGGATGCCATCAGTGATGCCGCCAAACGTGGGTTTGAGGTATTTTCGGGCAAGGGCCGGTGTATCGTCTGCCATCCGGTGCAATCTGACTATGCGCTGTTCACGGACCAGCAGTTCCATAACACCGGTCTTGGCTATCGCGTTTCCTTCAATCTTCAGAATACACAGCCCAACGACAAGGTTCGCGTCCAGCTTGCACCTGGAGTTTTTACCTATGTGACACAGGATGTCATCCAGTCTATTTCTCGCAGGAAACCTCCGAATGATCTTGGTCTATACCGAATAACAGAAAATCCGAATGATCGATGGAAATTCAGAACCCAGACTTTAAGAAACATTACTCTGACTGCTCCTTACATGCACAATGGGGCATTTCGGACTCTGCGTGAGGTCATTGATTTCTATGATCGCGGCGGTATCCCGAATGAATTGCTTTCTCCATTGATCGGCGTTTTGAAATTAACGGAGCAAGAAAAACTTGAACTTGAGGCGTTTTTGAACTCCTTGACGGGGAGCAATGTTCCCGATCTTGTGTCGGATGCATTTGCAGCTCCGATCGGTGATCTCGGCCCTGATGATCCAAATTGGGCTCATGATAATTCGCTGGGATACTGAACAGCCCCGAAAAAGTATCCTGATACCAATCCGAAGCTCCTGTTGAGCATGAATTTCATCGTCGGTGACAGCCAGATCCAGCCAGATTTTTTCAGGAAATTGCGAATACGATTCCTGAAACACATCCACCATCAGCCGCTTCATCCATTACTCATCGCCGAGGATTTTCTTGTAACGAAGATTGGGCACTTGCTCCGCAACACCCAGCTCCAAACGGCTGAAAGTGCTGGAACCGGCCAATCGAAAGCCGCGCTCCGGTCAGATCGGACTTCTCACCAGCAAAGCAGGCCCTGACAGGAACGTACTCAGACTGATACCGCCAATGTGCCGCTTACCAGAAGCTGTGCCAGTCATCATCGAAGGTAGGGATCAGGCATTTGAGACACTCAATTGAGTGAACGGATCAACCTCCGAAGATAAAATTACCAATAATTCGATCAGTGTCGAGGGTAAATATTCCCGCAAGGATAAGTCCGACAAAGCATCCTATCATGGCCATGAAGTGACGCCGGCGATGCCCTCTCCGAATCATGAAGATCGCATATGCCATGGAAATAAGCGTGAATGTCGAGAGCAAATGAATCCCGCTGAATCCGCCTTCGGCACTAATACCGTGAAGCCTGAACGATCCGAGCGCAACGATTGTCATCAAGACAACCCAAGTACGTCCTATCAGCTTGTGACGAGGAGTTCCTTTCGGCATGGATAAAACTACAATGCCAAGCAACAGTGCACATATGGCGCCTGCGATGTGAATTCCGATATCAAGTTGAGTCATGACTTGTATTTACCAAAAAGTTGCTAAGATTCCTGTCAGATTCATTAACGACTTTGAGAGGTGATGCTGACAGGCTGCACGCTCACAGTGCCAACAAATTTTTATAGATAGGCTAGTACGATTCCACCGAATACCATAGCGCCGAACCAACTGTTTCCAAGGAAAGCAGCAAAGAACTGATCCCGATCGTCACTTCTGCACGAATATTGATGCCACACAGCCACCACTAAAGCCCCGAACAGGCCAAGAAAATAGTATCCGTTCAAATTTTCCATAAAGCCGACAAGGCAAAGGAGCAGTAGCGTAATCGCCTGGCAAACGCCAATCACAATCCGATCGAAGGTGCCGGAAAGCACCGCCAACGATTTTACTCCGATGCGCACATCATCCTCGCGATCAACCATGGCATAAAAGGTGTCGTAGGCTCCCGCCCACGCGATGTTGGCAAGCAGCAGAATCCAACCTATCATCGGAACCGTATCTTGATGCGCTGCGAACGCAATCGGTATACCCCAACCAAATGCGATGCCCAAGTAAAACTGGGGCAGGCTCGTCACTCGTTTCAAGAACGGATACGATGCTGCAAGGATCACCCCGATAATCGCCAGAATCAGCGCAAGGCTGTTTAGGAACAATACCAGTATGAAACCCAGCAGACACAAACATACGAACAGAATTAATGCTTCACGTACCGATACCTCACCAGTAGCAAGTGGACGTCTGCGCGTACGTTCGACATGCGGGTCAAAATCTCGATCCGCAAAATCATTAATCACGCAACCACCGGAACGCATAACAAAAACGCCTATAACCAACACTAGTACGATAAGGGGTTCAGGGTTGCCTTTTCCAGCAAGCCATGCCGCCCACAATGTAGGCCAAAGCAACAGCAAACTGCCGATGGGCTTATCCAACCGCATGAGACGAGCATAGGCGCCGAGTCGTTCAAACAGCACTGTACCCACCCTCCCGGACAGTCCAGCGTCTGATCAATGGTTGTATGTAGTCGGGGTGCTTGTCCATAATCAATTCTGCAACTTGATTGACATCTGTGATCATTTCCATGTCCCTCGGCAGTTCCGCAATACGGAATAGCTGCGCTCCGGTCTGTCGCGTACCAAGCAGTTCACCGGCACCGCGAAGCTTAAGATCAGTTTCTGCAATTTTGAAGCCATCGTTCGATTCCTGCATCACAGTCAATCGCTTATTAGCCATTTCTGATAAATCTTTTTTAAATAAAAGTACGCACCGAGCCTCTTTCAAACCGCGACCGACACGACCCCGCAACTGATGCAATTGCGAAAGCCCCAGTCTCTCGGAACTTTCGATCACCATCAAGCTCGCATTCGGCACATCCACTCCGACCTCAATCACCGTAGTTGCAACCAACACGTCAACTTTGCCTTTCCGAAAATCCGTCATGATCTGATCCCGTTTCACGCTCTTCAGGCGACCATGGATCAAGGCAACGCGGCGTCCAGGCAGTGCTTCTTTCACAAATTTCTCCGCCTCTTCGGCGGACTCGGCATCCAGCACTTCTGATTTTTCGATGATCGGACACACCCAGTATGCCTGTTGACCGGATGCACACAGATGTTCGACCATGCCGATTACATGGCTGCGCTTCGATGAAGGGATGATCTCGGTACGTACCGGAATTCTGCCGGGAGGAAGCTCGGTTATGTTGGACACGTCCAAATCAGCGTAGAATGTCATCGCGAGTGTTCGAGGAATTGGCGTTGCGGTCATTACAAGCTGGTGAGGCACGTGTTCTTTCCTCACGCCTTTTTTACGAAACGCGTAGCGCTGGCCAACGCCAAAACGGTGCTGTTCGTCAATTACAACCAATCCCAGGTTTTTGAAATCGACTCCTTCCTGGAAGAGGGCATGAGTGCCGATGACGATGTTGGCACCGCCCCATTGAACGGCGTACTCGACATTTCGACGATCTTTTGCAGACAATCTGCCAGTCAGCAACTGGACGTCAATTCCAAGCGGAGCAAACCAGTCAACGAATGACTTCAGATGCTGCTCCGCGAGCAGTTCTGTCGGAGCCATGATCGCAACCTGAAACCCGGATTCCACAACCCAAGCCGCAGCTGCCGCGGCAACCAGCGTTTTGCCGGAACCTACGTCTCCCTGCACCAGACGCAGCATCGGCATTGATCGCTTCAAATCTGCAAGGATTTCGTGAATGACTTTTCGCTGGGATTCAGTCGGCTTGAAAGTCAGTGATTCTTTCAGTTGTCTGGACAACTCCCCCGACGGCTCCATTTTGGGAGCTTTGACAGACTGTCGTAGTCTTTTGTGCTGGCGACGTGCAATTTGAAAGGCCACCAATTCCTCAAAAATGAGTCTCTGCATGGCAGGCTCTTTTTGCTGTTCTTCTCTGAGTTTAAATTTTTCGGAAGGTGGAGCATGCACATACTCCAGAGCGGCCTTAAGATCAGGAAGCTGACGCGCTTCAAGCGCTTGCGTCGGTAGAAGTTCGAGGACTTCCTGATTCTTGCTGAGTTTGAGTGCGGAATTGACAGTGGCACGCATCAACGCTTGCCCAACTCCTTCGGTAAGCCGATACACTGGAGTGAGACTGTCACCTTGTACGGCAGCAGGCGAATGATCAAAAACCGAATATTCGGGGTGAACCATTTCATAGTTGGCACGCATCCAACGCACTTCGCCGAAACAGCGAAGCCATGTAGCTCTTTCCAGATTCTCTTTTTGTCTGTTGCTGAAGTGAAAGAGTCGCATACACATGTTTCCAGATCCATCGTCAATTTTGACGATTAAACTGCGACGGCGACCAAATTGAACCCGGACGGTGATGATTCGGCCGGATACCAACATGGTTTGACCGGTGATCAGCGAGTCAAGAGGAACAGTCCGTGTGCGATCTTGGTAGCGATAAGGAAGATGGAACAGAAGATCCTTGACCTGAATAATCCCAATTTTTTCCAACAGGGATGCAAGCTTTGAGCCGACACGGTGAAGCTCCGTAACGGGCAATTCCTCTACATATTGAGGCTGGTCCGAGTTCACCTATCCCTACAAAACCATGATGGCTTCGACTTCGACCGAAACACCCTTGGGAAGCGAGGCCACACCAATTGCCGCGCGGGCGGGATAGGGTTCAGTGAAATACTCACCCATCACCTCGTTTACAGTAGGAAAATTTCCAAGATCAGTAAGGTACACAGTGAGTTTGACGATATCCGAAAGGCTGCCACCGGCTGCCGCCGCAACCGCTGCCACGTTCTGAAATACTCTGTCAATCTGTGTTCTCGCATCGCCGTCCACCACTTCCTGAGTGGTCGGGTCCAACGGAATCTGTCCAGATATATAGACAGTATCCGAGGATCGCACTGCTTGTGAATAAGCACCGATTGCACTGGGGGCTTTGTCGGTGGAGATAATTTGTCTATTGGTCATGCTGCCGTTCCCTAGTAGTTTAAATAATTCATAATGGCTGCGGCACCGCATTCCGAGTCGCTAGTGCTTGTAAAGCCCAGTTGCAAGTTTGAGGATTATATTCTGCGCATGCTGGAGGGCGGTGTTTGTTGAGTTATTCATCATTCAGATGTTTCAAATCCTCCGTTTGCTTTGACAGGTAGCAAACGCACACCAAGGTAAATTACAAATTGTCGACTGTAAAAACTAGCCTTGATATCAATCTGCATCCTCGAAAGTCTTACGAACCTAAATTTCGTGTTCTATGAGAAATTCTTAATCACGGAAGGAACAAAAACTTGCAGAAATTTAAAGAGAAGTTGTTAAGTTCAATAATACAAATGTTGTAATATTTAGGCGTTCTAATTTGTAATTTGGTTGTAAATTACCTCTTCGGAATTCTAAAGACCGCGGATATTAAAATCATGATACTAATCATCGATAGGATTAAGATTTTCGTAACAACTTATCTTGCCACGTGTCCTTATATCGCCCTTAACGAACTAGATGTTTGATGCGTTAAATGGGGATGAGGTAAAGAAACAGAAATATCCAGCGGCAACTGACGTATCTAATTCTTAACGGTTCGCTGCCAGGTATTTGATTGATTTGACGCGACTTGCATCTCTCATTTCAACTTGCTACGCTTAACATCAAGTACTGTGGAATCACTTTCGACCAGTCGCATGATTCGATCAAGGTGTTCCCGATCCGTTACATCAATGTCAAAATCCAACATCGCGTAGCCGCTTTCAAGCGTATTGATTTCTCCAGTACTGATATTGGCTCCTGCCGACGCGATCCTGGCGGTTACCCCTGCTAACACTCCCTTTTTATCCTGTGTGTGCAGCCGAATGGAAACCCGGAAAGGACCCCGAGGCTTGTCGACCCAGTGAAATTTACCCCATTGTTCAGGAGGATATTTAGAGTCACGGACATTCAGGCAATCTTCACAGTGAATGACTATGCCCCTGCCCAAGCTAAAAAATCCGACGATTGAATCATTCGGAATCGGGTTACAGCACTTTGCATATTTAACCACCACTCCCTCGGTGCCCTGAATGGATACAGACAACTCATTTGACGCATGTTGATCGACTTTCGATAGGGTATCAGGAAATATCTGATTGACGATGATGCCTGCGACGCGTTTTCCAGTACCGATGTCATGAAGAATCGCAGACCAGTTATTGACACTCAACTCTTGGGCAAGTCTGTCTTTCATCTCCTGCGTTATGGATGCCGGCTTTATTTTGTAAGTCTTCAAAGCATTCTGAAAAAGCCGCTTGCCCATCTTTTCAAATTCCACATCTGACTTATTCTTGAGAGCATGTCGGATCGCCATTCGCGCTTTTCCTGTAACAGCAAACTGTAGCCATCCTGGATCCGGTCTGCCATATTTGGTGCTTTTGACTTCAACAGAGTCTCCATTCTGAAGAACCGTAAGAAGCGCTGCACGCTTCCCATTGATCTTCGCCGATTTGATGCCATCTCCCACTTCTGTATGAATCGAATAAGCAAAATCGACCACAGTCGCCCCTTTTTTCAGACGCCTCACATCGCCTTTTGGCGTGAACACATACACATTTTCGGAAAACAAGCTGATCTTCAGATTGTCAAAGTAGTCGTCAGGAGCAGCAACAGTATGATCTTCCAGCCCATGAATTACTTCATTCAACAATTGAGTGCTAGGAATTTTGGATAATTCTGTTGACGCATTTCCGGTCTTGTAACCAAGGTGGGAAGCGATTCCGGATTCAGCAATGCGATGCATATCCTCGGTGCGTATCTGTACCTCTATGGCGCGACCGAATTCAGCGTGAACAGTTGTGTGCAGGGATTGATATCCATTAAACTTCGGAATCGCAATATAGTCATTGAATTCACCTGAAATCGGTTTATACCGATTGTGAATTAGCCCCAGTGTCCGATAGCAGTCCTCCACTTCCTGCACCACCACTCGAAACGCAAACAAGTCTTGAACTGCTTCTAGTGAATTGCCCTTACGTCGCATTTTCTCGTGAATCGCGGAAACGTTCTTGAAACGTCCTGTCACGCTTGCGACGATGCCACGCTCCTTCAAAAGCGCCTGAATCGAGTTGATGTGTTTCTTAATGGTCTGATTGACACCACCCTTGATGTCACGTCGCACTGCCTTGTTGATAGTTTCATATCTTTTGGGGTAGATTGCCTTGAAGCATAAATCTTCCATCTGGCGGCGCCAGCTGTGCATGCCCAGCATATAGGCAATCGGTATGTAAATGTCGTAGGTCTCCCGAGCAATTCTCTTTCTTTTTTCAAGGCGATGTACATCGAGTGTGTTGAGATTGTGAATTCTATCGGCCAGTTTGATCAGTATGACCCTCACATCATTCGACACAGCAAGAAAAAGGCTTCGCAGGTTTGCGTTTTTTTCTCTTTCTTTCGACACGAATTCCAGATTGCTCACTTTACTGACCCCTAAGACCAGAGTCGCAACTTCTTCTCCGAATTCTTTTTCCAACTTCTCCAGAGTGAGTTCGGTGTCTTCGAGTGTGTCGTGAAGAATTGCCGCAATGATAGTGCGACTGTCAAGATGTAGCCCAGCAAGCATGTGAGCTACCATGAGAGGATGATGGATATATTTTTCGCCTTTCAGCCGGCGCTGGCCGTCATGGGCGCTGGCGCTGACTTTGTAGGCCCTTCGGACCTCTTTGATCTGGCTCTCGCTGAGATACTCCTTCAGCGAATCGCAGAGCTTACCGAGCTGTCGCTTTTCGCTCTCCGGAAGTCCTACCCGACGATAGATTTCCGAAATTCTACTGCTCGACGACTTGTTCCGCGGGTTGGTTTTCTGCATTCGCTGCTTGAAGTTCTTCTTCTCTCGTCAGTCCTAGATCGCCAGATTGAAATTCAAAAGGTATTGACATGATAGGATCATCATCTTCGTCGAGAATGCTGGCAGTAATATGTCCCTCAGCAATCTCACGTAATGCAATTACGGTATTCTTGTCATTGTCTCTGTCAACCAGCGGTGCAGCGCCACCGGCGAGTTGCCGCGCTCGTTTCGTCGCGATTAGAACGAGTTGAAATCTGTTTTCGACTCTTTCGAGACAATCTTCTACTGTAATACGTGCCATTCTTTACCCCTGAAAACCGTATGTCCGTACAAGGAACTAACGAAAGTATAAAATAAAAAGGTGGATAGTAAATTATATGATGAATATGCGTCCGTGGCGAAAAAAAGCAAGGATTAACGACTAAAATTAATTAACTATGGCTCTAGATGATTCCAATCAAGTGATTGTCAATGTGTGGGATATCACACTGCGAATTTTCCACTGGGCGTTGGCGGTGCTTGTTGTCGTCATGTTTGTAAGTGCCAAACTTGAGAATTTTGACGTACATATTCTGGCTGGCAAAGGTATTGTCATGCTCATGATCGCCAGAATCATTTGGGGATTTCTCGGCAGCTCAAACGCTCGGTTTTCGTCCCTGGTGTTCAAGCCCAAAGATTACTTTGACTACATCGCCAAGCTCCCGCAACGCACTCCAGGATATAGCGTCGAACACAGCCCGATCGGCTCTCTGGCCGTAATTGCAATACTGCTGGCTGTTATTGTCCAGGCAACTACCGGCATGTTCGCTACCAATGTGGACGGACTGGTTGAAGGACCATTTGCCTACTACGTCAGCTACGATTTCACCCGCTGGGCAAGTGACGTCCATGTGACGCACAAAAAATGGCTGTTTGCGCTAGTCATCCTGCATCTTGTAGCAAATGCGTTCTATTACTTTTACAAAAAAGATAACCTGATCAAACCCATGATCACCGGTACACGACCCATACCGCGCAACCTAGCTCACACCGCGCCGACTCTGGCATCTGCATGGAGAGGCACCGTAATCGCGCTGATTACGGCTGCCATCATGCTGTGGGTATTCCTGCAGTACGGATAGACTTGTCACTCTTTTTTCTGACGGAACCTTTTATGGCATCCGCCACAGCCTTCGCTGCCAAGCGCCTTGACTTTTGCGCCAATCTCGCCTGGATCACCGGAATCGAAAACGGCTGCCAACGCTTTTGCCGGTTCGACGATTCCTCCAGCAGCTGCTACAAAATCGGACCAATTCTCCCAGATTTCCGCTTTTGCTTCACTGTCTTCATTCTGCGCCAATCCAGTATCCTGCGGAAACAAATCTGGAATATTCGACGCGTTTTCAGCGATTTCAGTCGCCATGGACGCCAATTCCAGGGGCTCGCCTTCACCGCGTTTCAGAAAGTCGGAGAACGCCTTCATGCTACCCCCCATCCCTTTCATGAATTCGCTGCGCATTTCATAGGTCGCCTCAGCCTCTTCAGGCGAAGAGACTGTCGAAGGCATTGATTCGGCATGCAACGTCGGTGTCGCAAGTCCGAATGCAATCAATACAAATAATGAAAATTTCTTCTTGATGCTCATGATTGGAAATTCACCTATACATGTTTGTCGGTTGACCAATGCTTACATTCTAGCACCTGTTAACTCCAATTATGTCTTTCCATTGGATTTACGTATAACAAACCCATGAAAAATCGGTATCCACTCCATCACCAAAGCACTATATGATGACCGCCAGACTGACTCGCTATTCCAACGATCTTGAAAACCTTTCGCGCAGCCATCTGCGACGAAGGCTTGAACCAATCAACGGAATCGATTTTACGTCGAATGATTTTCTGGCTTTCAGCACCGCACCGCAAATACGCGAAGCCGTACAGTCGGCACTTGAAGACGGCATGCCACTCGGCTCCGGTGGATCGCGGCTGCTGCGCGGCAATCACCGTATTCATGATGAACTCGAAACCATGGCGGCCGAGACTTTCGGCAGCGAAAAAGCGCTCTATTTTGCAAATGGATATTCCGCCAATTTCGCCATACTCACCACATTGCCAAGACGAAATGACTTGATAATTTTTGATGCGCTTTCCCATGCAAGCATACGAGAGGGGATATTCTCTTCGCTGGCAAAAAATGTAAAAACACCTCACAACGATGTCGATGCCATAGAACACGTGTTAGCTGATTGGCGTACCAGCGCTTCCGGCTCCTCCATGGCATGGATTATGGTTGAAAGCCTGTACAGCATGGACGGTGACTGCGCACCACTAAGCGATTTGGTTGAAGTTGCTGAAAGATATGGTGCGATCCTGATCGTGGATGAGGCCCACGCTACAGGTGTCTGGGGCGAAAATGGTCGGGGACTTACTGAACCGTTTGACGGACGACGCAATCTCGTTGCAGTTCATACATGCGGGAAGGCGCTCGGAGCTGCGGGAGGACTTGTTTGTACATCATCGGAACTAATCGATTTCATGATCAACAAATGCAGACCATTCATTTACTCCACCGCGCCGCCACCGATTAATGCCGTTGCGGTTATGGCGGCTCTTCGACTGCTTGATGAAGAGCCACGCAGGAGAATTGACTTGTTGGGTTTGATCAAAAAAGCCAATAGGGAATTGGAACTAAAATTTGAAAAAATCGGCAGCCAAACACAAATTATCCCCTTTGTGATTGGTGACGAAGAACTTACCCTGCGTGTCGCTAGTGAGATGCAGCAAGCAGGCTTCGATCTTCGAGCAATTCGTCCGCCCACTGTGCCAGCGGGTACAGCTCGCCTTAGAATCTCGATTACGCTTCACGCAACAGAAAAGAATATCAGCGACATGTTCGACGAACTCTACACAATCGTGTCAAACACTGACACAGATATTTCATAATTTAGAAGCATGTCCGCACCTTCCCCACAAACTTCGCACGGATTCCTAATAACCGGAACCGACACTGGAATCGGAAAGACAGTCGTGTCTGCAATGCTGGCACGTGCACTGAATGCAGCTTACTTCAAACCGGTACAGGCGGGTTTGGAAGAAGAAACCGATACCGAAACTGTCAAGCGCTTGTCTGGCCTTGCAGATAGTCACTTCATTGATGAAGTTTACCGATTGAACACACCAGCATCCCCACATCTGGCCGCAGAAATCGACGGCGTTCAAGTTGACATCGAGCGATTGGGTCAACTACCGAAAACATCAAAACCGCTCATAGTTGAGGGCGCAGGAGGTGTAATGGTACCACTCACACCGGATTGTCTACTCATCAAGCTCTTTCGCATCTGGCAGTTGCCGGCAATCATCTGCACACGAACGTCTTTGGGAACAATCAACCATACGTTACTCACCGTGCTCGCTCTCCAGAAGTATGAGGTTCCCATTCATGGACTGATATTCGTTGGGGATTCCAACCCAGAAAATGAAAGGATCATACCGAAATTATCCGATGTGATTCGACTTGGACGCGTTCCCTATTTGCACGAGCTAAGCGAATCTTCACTCCAAAACGTGTTTGCACAAAACTTCAATCTTAAACAATTTACCGGAGCAATTTAGTTGACTCGACAAAACTCTCCAATCTGGCACCCATTTACTCAGCATGCAGTATTCCCGAGCTTTCTTGAGATAGATCACGCGCAAGGCGCTTATCTGTACACCACAGAAGGCCAACGGATAATTGACGCGATCGCTTCATGGTGGGTGATCACGCACGGACACTGTCATCCAAATCTGCAAGCAGCCGCACGCAACCAGATCGATCGACTGGACCAAGTAATTTTTGCCGGTTATACGCACGAACCCGCGGAGACTACAGCTCAGTTGCTGCTTGAACTGACGCCTGATGGTCTGGACTATGTATTTTTCTCCGATAGCGGCTCGACCGCGGTTGAAGTAGGACTAAAGATGGCACTTGGCTACTGGCATCATCTCGGTGTACCCCGGCAGCGAGTGGTAGTTCTTGAAAACAGTTATCACGGTGACACTATCGGCACCATGTCTGTCGGCGAACGCGGTGTGTTCAACCAGCCGTACGACTCGCTCTTGTTTTCAGTCGAGAAAATTCCATTTCCGACAGCTGGCAGTGAACAGGAAACCCTGGATGCGCTGGATGCGAAGTGCAAAGAAAATCAAAATGTTGCAGCATTCATTGTTGAACCGCTGGTGCTTGGCGCCGGTGGAATGTTGATGTACGACGCCGAAACGCTACAGGCAATGAAACAGATTTGCGAGCGCTGGGATGTGCTCTTCATTGCGGACGAAGTAATGACCGCCTGGGGGCGTACCGGAACCCTGTTTGCCTGCGAGCAGGCTGGGGTTGTACCAGATATTGCCTGTTACTCCAAGGGCATAACCGGAGGATTTCTGCCGCTCGCTGTAACCCTATGCCATGAACGAATATTCGGTGCGCATTACTCAAAGGATCGGAGCAAGACTTTTTTTCATTCCAGTTCCTACACGGCCAATCCGATTGCTTGCGCAGTTGCGGCAGCCAATCTGCAAATGTGGAACGACCCCGACACTCTAAACAAAGTTCAGAAAGTGGCTCAGATGCAGGAACTAAAACTCACTGAAATGGCACAGTCTGAGGCATTGACCAATTTGAGGCGAACGGGAACGATTGCCGCAATGGACATTCAGGTAAAAGATAGCGGATATCTATCTGAAATCGGCACCGAACTATATCTTCGATTTCAAAAAAGCGGAGTGCTTCTACGCCCGCTCGGAAACACGATTTATGTACTTCCGCCCTACTGCGTCACAGCTGAGGACCTAGACACGGTCTACGGCGTCATATCGGAAAATGTTACACAGCTGACTCGATGATTTACGGGAAATCAGCTTTGTGATTCTGCAACTGTAGAAGTCACGCTACTTTCGACAGAGTGTCATCCAGCAGAATTTCGATAGCACTCAGTAGTCGAACATACAGAGTTTTTTCTCGCTCACAAAGCAACTGAACATTCTGCAAGCTCAAACTATTGTCAGCCTCCAACCGTCGAACCATGCTGTACAAATGTCCTTGCTCTTCAGCAAGCAATTTATCAAGAGAAATTTCGATACTGTTTTCTTCAATACACTGCTGGAGAATTTCATACGCCCAGACTGCACGAAATTCGACGATCAACGACATGTACAAATAAATCGTCCGGTAGTTCGACTGTCTGCCAAACAAATGCACCATGCAGGCTTCGAGTCTGCCAAAGTACGCTCTTGCCGACGCGGGCGCCATCAGTGCTGCAGGCGAATAATCCAAACCGCTTCCGTGCAATCGCTCCGCGTGTCGCTTGAACAGTACCGCGTGTCCGGTCTCCTCATTCAGGTGCTTTAGCGTCGGATAGTCAATCACGCCGCCGCGCTGTGTCGCCATGATCTTGTAACTTCCAATATGCTCCATGTAGGAAAGTGTATTCATGAACAGCCACGAGTGTTTTGAACTGCCGCATAAGCGCATGAATACTGAATTCGTCCACACCTGCAAGTCTTGATTGTTGTCGGTGAACTCGCTGATCAAAGAAGGTATCGCGATTGTCATGAGACTACATGCTTTGCCAAGTCGAGTACATTTGAAGTGGAAGTCGTTTCAGATTCCGGCGGCATTTCCTCCAGTCCGAGCTTGCTGAATAGTGCTGCGTCATGATCGTATTCCACGTTGTCGGTCGTTAACAGTCGGTCGCCAACAAAAATGGAGTTTGCTCCCGCAAAAAAACACAGCGCCTGAAGCTCTTCAGACATTGTTCGGCGACCTGCAGAAAGCCGAAGCATGGATTTCGGCAGCATGATTCTCGCGACAGCAATGGTTCGTACAAAATCTATCGGCTCAACCGGCTCTGCGTCTTCAAGAGGCGTACCAGGTATAGCAACAAGCAAATTGACCGGAACACTTTCCGGGGGTTCGTCCATATTTGCCAGCAAGCGCAACATGCCGGCGCGATCATTCTGTGTTTCACCCATGCCGAGTATCCCGCCGCAACACACTTTCATGCCTGCTTCGCGAACGTAACCGATAGTTTCCAGTCGATCCTCGAAAGTTCGAGTAGTGATGATCTTTTCGTAGTATTCCGGTGACGTGTCAATGTTGTGGTTGTAGTAGTCAAGACCGGCTTCTTTTAGCATGATCGCCTGATCACGGCTCAGCATACCGAGCGTCATGCAGGTTTCCATACCCAACGCTTTTACTTCTCGTACCATGGTACAAAGGTTATCCATGTGGCTCGTCTGAGGTCGACGCCATGCTGCCCCCATACAGTAGCGTGTGGCGCCGTCTGACTTTGCAAGTTTCGCATCTGCGATGACATCTGTGACGTTCATCAACTTGCTCGCTTTGACATCGGTGTTGTAGCGAATTGACTGGCTGCAGTACTTGCAGTCCTCCGGACAACCACCGGTCTTGATGTTTACCAACCTGCTTTTCTGCACTTGATTTGGAGAAAAGTTTGCACGATGAATAGTTTGAGCTTGATACAGCAGATCGCTAAACGGCAAGTCAAAGAGCGCTTGTACCCGGTCTTTCGACCACGATGAAATTTCCATAGTCTGGTTCATTACGCTGTGATTACCTTGGCTGGATATGAGACGGCACTCGAATCGATATGTTCAATGTTATTAGTACTATACACCATCTAGACTGTAGAACCGTTTTGAGGATTCACAGTGTCAGCAACTGATCTTGCATCTCAATTCGGTGACGGAGGACAGCTGAAGATAAAGTCTACCTGACACAAATCACCGCAATCCGGTTGGTTTCAGGATTTACTTTGTTGAATTTGCCTCTATATCACATTCAGTCCTCACTCCTTTCTTTTGAGCTGGATGTGTGATTCCCAACTAACAAACCTTCAATCAGGTGTATAAATCCGTTCAGAATTTTCCTTCAGGCTATAAATACTTGAACACATCCACACCAAATATAAGACGTGAGGATTATCGCCTTCTGACAGGTGGGGGCAATTTTGTCGACGACCTGCAATTGAACAATTCCTGCGTCGGATATGTGGTTCGATCACCATATTCACATGCTGACATTGAACGAATAGACATTGAATATGCCAGTGCAATGTCTGGTGTACAACTGGTTCTTATCGCCGCTCATCTGCAGGCCGAAGGAGTCGGCGGCTTACCCTGTGCCTCGGACTTGACGAACCAAGATGGAACGTCGATGTTCAAACCAGACCGTCCAATTCTTGCCGCGGATCGAGTGCGTTATGTCGGTGAACCCGTCGCTTTCGTTGTCGCCGACAATCTACATATCGCCATGGAGGCCGCTGACGCGATTGAAATCGATTATTCGGAGCTTGATGCGGCGAGCAACACCAGTAAAGCCATCCACAGCTCAACGCCAATATGGAATGAAGCGCCTGATAACGTAAGTTTCCACACTAGTTCCGGTGATGATTCAAACGTGACGGAAGCGCTGAACGATGCAGCTCATGTAGTTTCGATTGAAGTCCATCATCCGAGAATGGCAATAACGCCCATTGAGCCTAGAGCGGCAATCGCACAATATGATTCCGCAACACAGCAATACACGCTGAACGTCCAAACACAAGGCGTACATATGGTGCGCAGGGTACTTGCACAGGATGTCTTAAAAATCCCTCTCGAAAACCTGCGCGTAATAACACAGGATGTCGGAGGCAGCTTCGGCATGAAAATTTTCACTTATCCTGAGTATGCTCTCGTCCTCATCGCATCTGAGAAAATTGGCAAGCCTGTGAAGTGGACGGCGACGCGTGCAGAATCATTTGTTTCCGACTCTCACGGCAGGGCGCGCATTGATTTCGCACAGCTAGGGCTTGACGAAAATGGACGCTTTACAGCACTTCAGATAGAGGCTACTGCCGATCTTGGAGCCTATCTGTCTTACGTCGGGCCATCAGTTGCTGCGGTATACCCCTATTCGGTGATTGGGCATACCTACAATATTCCGCTGATCCAATATCGTTGTAGAGGTGTATTCACAAATGCACCTCCGGTTGATGCATATCGGGGAGCGGGTAAACCGGAAACGGTCTGTACACTGGAACAATTGATCGACAAAGCGGCTATTGAACTCGGATACGATCGCACAGAGTTGCGCCGAAAGAATTTCGTTCGGCCTGAACAACTGCCCTATTCAATGCCGAATGGACACGTTATCGACAGCGGCGAATTCGAAACAATACTGGATTTGGCACTGGAACAGTCTCAGTGGAGCAAGTTTTCCGAGCGTCGTCATGAATCATTCAAGCAAGGGTCGATTACGCGGTATTGGTCTTGGAATGTACATGCATTCAACTGGCGGCTCGCCAACTGAAGTCTGTGAAGTTCAACTCCGTGACGACGGATCAATACTAGTCCTCACTGGCACGCAATCCGGTGGACAAAGCCATTTCACTACATTGGCAGCGATTGCCGCCAATGTGCTGCAAATTGATCATTCACGCGTGATCGTACTGCAAGGAGACACGGATGCTCTAAGTATGGGAGGCGGAACCGGCGGTTCTTCTTTAGTAGCAATCAGCGGCAATACAGTACAAAGAGCCGCACGCCGCATGTTGGACAATGCCCGAGAAATCGTCTCACACTTGCTTGAAGTTTCACAGATGATATTGAATATCAAGCCGGTACTTTCTACCTGCCCGGTACCGACTATCGCGTCAGTTTAGAACAGATTGCCACGCGAATGGGAGAAATGCCACAGGATTATCCCGGCTGCATCGGCAATGCGGAATTTGAAGGGGTTAACACCACGCACCCTTGTGGAGCTTATGTTGCCGAACTCGAGTGTGATCCTGCCACAGGCGCCATTGAGATCCTCCAGTTGGTTGGAGTGGACGACATTGGCAGAATTCTGTATCCAGCCATAGTGGACGGACAGCTTCACGGGTCCTGGGCTCAGTCCGTAGGCACGTCGTTAATGGAGTCAGTGCAATTTGACGAACAGGAATCTGGGCAAATACTTACCGGATCACTGATGGATTATCAGCTGCCGCGTGCTGCGGATATTCCGTTTCTTAAACTTGAAAAATTTGAAACACTCTGCAAGACAAACCCGATGGGTGTCAAGGGCGTCGGCGAAGTTGCGAGTTTGGGTGCACCAGGCGCCATTCAGAATGCCGTTTCCAACATGCTGAGCGAAGACAGATATGTTGCACTTGACGGTCCTGCTACACCGTTAAGAATATGGAAAGCGATTAACAAAACTTTGGACTGAGCTCGAAGCAATCCAGTTATTCGTTGTCCAAACGAGCAACTCGCCCGAGGTAGCCTCCGTGATGACGTAAGCCATACTGATGCTTGGTGATGCCTTTAAGCTCCATCAACGCCAGGGTGATTGCGTCTGCAATGGCATTCATAACCGCAATACTGGCAGAGGGTGTCAGACCTAGAGGGCAAGGTTCTTCAATCACTCCCATTTCCAGAATAATGTCGCAATGCTTCCTGAGTTCGGATTCTGCATGAGAAGTAATTCCTACTACCTTGCCGAGTCCGAGGTGTTCAGCTAGTTCCAGCATTTCGATGACTTCTCGCGTTTTACCGCTGGTAGAAAAAGCGACTAGACAGTCACCCTCCGAGACTACACCGAGATCGCCATGTGCTGCTTCACCTGGGTGAACATAAATGGCTGGAGTTCCTGTCGAGCTAAGCGTTACAGCGAATTTATTTGCGATGATGCCAGCTTTGCCCATGCCTGTCGTCAGCAGTTTGCAGCGGCACGACATCAACAGATTTACTACATCTTCAAAAGTTGAAGTAACTTCGATAGACTGAATAGCTTTCGATTCGGATTCAAGAACGTACTGAATACGCTGGATTATGTCCATTGGCTGGTTGCCGATAACAGATGAAATATCACGGTCATTATATTGCTGAACACAATTTCCATTCGCTGTAGACGGATATTCATGCACGTCAATTACGAATTTTGAGGCTACAATCTCAGAGTGGATGAAAGATTCTGTGCATAGACTTTTGCAGGGAGAGATTGAATTTTTTATTCCATTTTCATTGAGTTGATGTAACATTTATTGCGAAACTTGTTCAAATGTTGCCAAAATGCCAAGCTTAATTGGGCAAGATTTTGAGTTTATTGTAAATAAACATCCGATCTTCTAGATATTTATTATTTATATTCAAAAAGATAGATGAGCAGATTGTGCTTTCGGCGAGAAGTATATAAATTTGCAGTAGTAAACTTGTAAAAAAATAATTTTACATTATTTGCATTTTAGTAAATAATGCTATACCCCCTGCTATTAAGAAATCCCACTAAAGGGAGCAGGTCAGCGAATCTTTGCAATACCTCTTCGGACTTACCTGTAGGGATTGCATTCTCTGTAAACCATATGAAGGCCATAATGTCAGATTTAATTACACATATCAGTGATAGTTCGTTCGAAGATGAAGTCATCAATTCATCGACTCCAGTTATCGTTGATTACTGGGCGGAGTGGTGCGGCCCGTGCAAAATGATCGCACCCCTTCTAGAAAACATTGCCACGAACTATGAAGGCAGGCTGAAAGTTGCAAAATTGAATATAGACGACAACCCACTGACGCCACCCAAGTATGGAATTCGCGGAATTCCAACCCTGATGATTTTCAAGAACGGCGTGGTTGAAGCTACCAAAGTCGGTGCCGTGTCAGAATCTCAACTAACGTCATTTATTGATGAAACCCTTTAGGTTATTACAATTTATTCGTTTAGGTTATAATTTTTCAAACTTGGTTCGTTAACTTTTCGAACGAACATCAATTCTTCTTTCCTAAATTCCATATATCAGCACCTGATCATATACATACATTAGCAGTGTCGTAAGACGCTGTACCACCAACCGCCGAAACCGAGGCAACATCCATGGGAATCAGCTTAACTGAGCTAAAGTCTAAAACACCAACTGAATTAGCTGACATTGCACGCAATGCAAATATCAACGGCGCAGCGGGAATGCGCAAGCAGGATCAAATTTTCGCCATTCTGAAGGCGGAAGCCAGAAATGGCGGAAACATTACGGGCGAGGGTGTGATGGAAACGCTGCAGGACGGTTTTGGATTTCTTCGATCGCCAAACAGCTCCTATCTGGCAGGGCCGGATGATATTTATGTGTCACCCAGTCAGATACGAAGATTCAATCTTCGAACCGGCGATACAGTAACTGGTCTAGTGCGACCTCCCAAAGACTCCGAACGATACTTTGCGCTGCTCAAGGTTGAAAACATAAACCACGAGCAGTTAGACAGTGTGAAAGACAAAGTTCTGTTCGAGAATCTGACGCCGCTGCATCCGGACCAACGCATGCGACTTGAAATAGGTAATGGCAGCACCGAAGACCTGACTGCAAGAATCATTGATCTGGTAGCACCAATCGGGAAAGGCCAGCGAGGTCTGATCGTATCTTCGCCGAAAACCGGCAAAACAGTCATGCTGCAACAGATCGCTCACTCCATTACTGCGAACATTCCCGAATGCGAGTTGATTGTTCTGCTCATTGACGAGCGTCCAGAGGAAGTTACCGAGATGCAAAGGTCCGTGCGCGGAGAAGTCGTATCATCTACCTTTGATGAACCCGCAACTCGACACATTCAGGTGGCAGAGATGGTTATCGAAAAAGCAAAACGGCTAGTCGAACATAAGCGCGATGTAGTCATTTTGCTGGATTCAATTACTCGTCTAGCTCGTGCATACAATACGGTTGCACCCGCATCTGGAAAAGTGCTGACCGGAGGTGTTGATTCAAACGCTTTACAGCGCCCCAAACGGTTTTTCGGCGCAGCCCGAAATATCGAAGAAGGCGGCAGCATTACCATTCTTGCCACTGCACTGATCGAAACCGGTTCCAAAATGGACGATGTTATCTACGAAGAGTTCAAGGGTACTGGCAACATGGAAATCCACCTGGATCGCCGTATTGCGGAGAAGAGGGTGTATCCATCCATCATCATCGGACGCTCAGGAACACGTCGGGAAGAATTGCTTACCGAACCCATGGAGCTAAAAATGATCTGGGCGATTCGCAAACTTCTGCATTCACATGATGATATTGATGCGATTGAACTCCTGTCGGAACGGCTTCGTGCGACAAAAACCAATGCCGAATTTTTCGCTTCCATGAAACGAGCTTCCTAAGTAGCTACGCATCCAACTAGCGATTAATGTTCGCTCAAATCCACTCTCTAATACAAAATCTTTTCTGCCGAAATTCATTACACTCCTTGTAGAAACGTGTAGGGCTCTTATAATTAGGGTTTGCAAAGTAAATGTCTGAGAGTCGCAAATTAGGCAATTGGTCATTGGAACTTCGATATTTGAAATAACTCTCCAGTTGCTGATGATTCGGATCATAAACAAACAAAATTCAAAATACGAGAAATGAAAAAAGGAATTCACCCACAATATTCGACCATAACTGTCAAGTGCGTCTGCGGCAACAGTTTTCAAACCCGCTCAACGCTGAAAGAAGATTTGAACATCGAAATTTGCTCTGTATGCCACCCGTTCTTTACCGGCAAGCAAAAGATTGTCGACACGGCTGGACGCGTCGGAAGATTCAAAGAAAAATACGGAATTCAGAGCTAGCACACAATTCCTGCAATTCGATGTAATTGCAGGACCGACGCGAATATCGCGTTGCCATTCCATTCAATTGGGCCGCCATGCGCGCTAATCAACCCGTCACGGTTGCCGACCATGTTGATTGGGCTGAACAACGTTTGACACAATCCAAAGTTCACTCCAGTCACGGATGCACCAGTCTACGCGATGAGTCAATCTGGGCGACATTGCACGTAGCAAATCTGATTGATCAGGAATATGAAGATGTTCATGATCAAAACTTGTCTGAAATTGAGAGTTCAGCACTTCGCGAACTCGTAGAACGCAGAATCGAAACTCGCAAACCGCTTGCCTATCTGATTCGAGAATCCTGGTTTGCTGGCTATGCATTCTATATCGATGAAAGGGCAATCGTGCCCCGGTCTCACATTGGAGACTTGATTCAAGATGGCTTTGGCCCGTGGGTAAATCCTGCCCAAATTCACCGTATTTTGGATCTGTGCACTGGAAGCGGCTGTATTGCTGTCTCTCTTGCGTTGTGTTTTCCGAAAGCTTCGATAGACGCTTCGGATATTGACGCTGATGCACTTGAGGTAGCGCGAATCAATATCGAACGCTTCCAATGCAATGAGCAAGTTCGGGTAGTTCAAAGTGATCTCTATGACAACCTTGCAACTCAGCAATATGACTTGATTGTCAGCAATCCACCCTATATCGACAGCTCATGGATAGATAGTCTCCCAAAAGAGTATCAGCATGAACCACGCCACGCATTTGAAGCGGGTGAAGACGGACTGGACTTTGCACAGCGAATACTTTCGCAATCCAGAAATCACCTTACTGACCATGGATTTCTACTGATGGAACTTGGAAACTCTGCGGATGAGCTTGAAGCGCAGTTTCCGAATGTTCCGTTTCTCTGGCTGACTTCGAGAAGCGGCGAGTCGGTGGTGCTGCTGATTAGTGCCGAAGAACTAAAAATGTACGAATCGGAGTTCGCATTGCCATAGATTGCAGACTATTCAGATTTCGAGCATGTCGAAATCATCTTTCAACGCCGAACAGTCAGGGCACATCCATGTATCAGGGATTTCTTCCCAGCGTGTCCCGGCAGGAATACCCTCTTCAGGCAACCCATATTCTTCTTCATAAATGAAGCCGCACACTACACACATGTACACCTTGTAGTCCATGACGCCCAATTACCGTTCCAGGCACAAGATTGTCAAAATCGGGGATTGATTAACAGATTCAATTATGGTCGGACAAATGCGACTTATTTGTAAATCAAACAACCGCTATTCATCTTTCGTAGATTGAATTCCATACATTTTCAGCATCTGTTGCTGCATATCAGTCCACAATTTTAGGTTTTGCTGCGTCATCTCGCTTACCGTCGACATTCCTGCAGTGTTCAGCATATCGTTCAATTGCTGCTGATAGGCTTGTTGCTGGCCATCGAACATTTCAACAGTTTTCCCCAAGTAGTCCGTAAACACGCTTTGAAACGCTCCGCCATAAAATCGAATCATTTGTGTCAGCAATTCTTTCGTAAACATGGGATGCCCGCCCAACTCCTGCTCTGAAATAACCTGGAGAAGAATCTGCCGGGTATGTCTTCCCCAGTTGAGACATCCACCACGACGAAATTTACGTCATCCAGTACCAGTTGACGCACTTCGGACAGTGTGATGTATTTGCTCTCTACCGTGTCGTATAGACGCCTGTTCGAGTATTTTTTTATGGTTCGTGCTTCGTCCATCTGACTATCAATACATATGCTGACCGCCGTTGATGTCAATCGTTGACCCGGTGATGAACGATGCATTCTCGTCAACTAGAAACATCACGCCTCTGGCAATATCTTCAGCTCGGCCCAGTCTTCTGACTGGAATCGTGAGAATAATTTTCTCCAGCACCTTTTCAGGAACCGCACGCACCATGTCGGTATCCACATAACCGGGGGCGATTGCATTAACCGTGATTCCTTTACCGGCCCCTTCCTTTGCCAAAGCTTTGGTAAATCCATGTATGCCGGATTTGGAGGCAGAATAATTTACCTGACCGTACTGGCCCGCTTGTCCATTTACCGAACCAATATTCACAATACGCCCGAAACCTCTTTCCCGCATACCTTCAATTACGCATCTAGACATGTTGAAACATGAAGACAGATTTGTCTGCAACACACTATTCCATTGCTCGAAATCCATTGAATGCAGCGTCCGATCTCTGGTAATTCCGGCATTGTTCACGAGAACATCAACTTCACCGAGCTCGCTGGTAATTTTTTCAACCCCAGCCTTACATTGTTCAAAGTCGCTTACATCAAACGGATAGATTGAAATACCGGTTCGCGCATTGAAGTCTTGCGCGCGATTATGGTTTCCTGCATAATTTGCGGCAACCTTGAATCCGGCACCGTTCAATGCTATTGACACGGCTTCTCCAATCCCTCTGGTACCGCCGGTAACTATAGCAACTTTTGATTTCATTGGCTAACCCCCATGATTTGATTTGTGATGGAAGCCATTGTACTCAGTTCAATTACCTCAGTGCATGGTTTCGCATGGATAAGTCAACGTGGTACACTTACAATTCGAGACTTTGAGAATATTACTGTGTATCCCAACCTAGAAATCAGACGTGTTTAATCCCTGGGGAATTTCCAATCCGACGGATATGATTTCCATGTGGAGCAGATCGTTTGCTCCAGGACCGCCAACTGCATCGCCAATTTATTCGCAACTATATGAACTTGGAAACACGTTTCGGTCGATGTACGACACCATGCAAACGCAGGGGGCATCTTCAGTAAATAGACAGCAATTGGACGAAATGATCAAGTCATTTACTTTCAACCCTTTCATTGCCGGACTGCCTGCATCCACTGCCACTCAGAACAGTCCCTGGATGAATCCATTCCCTACCGGCAGCAGTACCCCTGCGTGGAATGCCTCCATGGTTCAGATGCCGGCATTGGGCATCGGTCGAGAATTTCAGGAAGATTGGACTTTGCTACTCAAGTTTCAACAGGAATATGCTTCAGCGCTTCAAGGCTATGTAAATATTCTTCAGGGATTCACACGGAGTGCCGGCGAACAGTTCATTCAATCAATATCGAACACTGACGAAGAGCTCGGATTCGAAGACATGTATCGCAAGTGGATTGATTGCTGTGAAGTCGAGTTTGAGAAAGTAGCCTTCACTTCGGAGTATGCGGTTTGTTTCGGCAAACTGATCGATTCCTATATCCGCTTGCTGCAGCACCAAAACAAGGTCCAGGAAAAGACATCCAGATCGCAAGGACAGCCGACTCGAAGTGAGCTTGACAGACTGCATCAGCAAAACTCGCAATCGAACTCACAAATTGATCGTCTGAATGAAACGATTCGCAATCTGCAACTACGGCTTGAGCAGGTGGAAAAGCCAAAACCACAGCGAAAGAGGAAATCCACTTCGAGTTCAGTAAAAGCTCGACCCCCACGCTCGAAAAAGTGAATCAGATGCAGAGTGCAGAAATATTCCTTCAGGAATCCGCGGAATTTCAATCGCGCTTGACCGAAGGATTCAAAGTTGCTGGAAAACTGGGCGAGATTCGTGTGGGGACAACACCCAAGGATGAAATTCACCAACAAAACGAATTGAGGCTATATCGATATCGTCCGCTAACCAAGACACAAAAAGTTGCCGAGCCGCTTCTGATTGTATATGCACTCGTGAACCGTCCATACATTGTCGACCTCCATGAACAACGCTCGCTGGTGAGAGGTTTATTGAATCAGGACATTGATGTTTATCTTATCGATTGGGGATATCCAGGACCCGGTGACCGCTACCTCGATCTTTCTCACTACATAGACGAAATGCTGGACCGTTGCGTTGATGAGACGCTGCAGCACTCAGGCGCCTCCAAAGTCAATATTTTGGGAATCTGTCAAGGCGGTACCATGAGTCTATGCTATGCAGCACTCCAACCCAAGAAAGTGAAGAATTTGATGACGATGGTGACGCCGGTTGACTTTCACACCCCGGATAATCTGCTCACCCATTGGTTTAAGGAAATTGACGTAGACTTGCTGGTTGACACGATGGGAAACGTTTCCGGCACCGTGTTGAACAGCATTTTTCTTTCACTCAAACCATTTCGACTTGGAATCGAAAAATATCTCGATTTTGTTCAGATCATTGACCAACCAGAGAAAGTTGAAAACTTCATGCGCATGGAGAAATGGATATTCGACAGTCCGGATCAGACAGGTGAGATGTTCCGCACTTTCATCAAAGAATTCTTTCATCATAACCGCCTGGTAAAAGGCGGGTTGACAATCGGAGATCGGGAAGTCGATCTAAGAACCCTAAAACTGCCGATATTGAATCTAATGGCCAAGCAGGATCATCTAGTTCCGCCGGCAGCATCCCAAGCACTGAAGTATTTGACCGGCTCTCAAGATTATGAGGAGATCGTATATGACACGGGGCACATCGGAATTTATGTAAGCAGCAAAGCTGGTCTGGATATTCCGATCAGAATTGGTCAGTGGCTCAACGAACGTGCTTGAACCTTTTTCCGTGTTAAGAAGGCAGTCCTAAATATTACATCTATCAGTCAGGCCATGCTTTCTTGACTCTGAACCCGATCGGAAAATCGCTAGAATGAATCATGTTTACTTGGTTTAGGTCAGGAATTCTGGAGTTATACTTAAAGCATGATTAAAAAATTATTTGTTATTGTTAAATTGACAATTCCAGTGTAACTCAGAAAATATTCGAAATTCTGTGCTTACAGCAAATTCATGAACTGACATTCTTTCGGACCTATGTCGAAACGTAAAGTTACACGCCGTATCATGCTGGCTGGCTTGGTTACTGTTGCCGCGAGTGCGGTCGCCCTGCCTTTTCTGTCTCGAGCCCGCTCGTCTGCCTTAAGCTACGAATTTCCCGGCCCGGCCCCCGATCGTCTCTTGGGACTTAATCTCCCGCTTGCCTGTACGGCTGGTACACGTGCACAAACCGAGGGGCCATTCTATACGCCAACTACGCCGCACCGGGCCAACTTGCAGGAACCTGACTCGAGTGGACAACCGTTAGTCCTCGAAGGTTTAGTTCTCAGCCCCGATTGTCGCCCAATTGCGGGTGCCGTGATCGACATCTGGCATTGTGACGAGCACGGACACTACGACAATGTGAACTTTCGCTATCGCGGCCATCAATTCACTGACACTGCGGGTGCTTTCCACTTCAAGACTATCCGGCCCGGCCACTATCCCGGGCGAACACCACATATTCATGTGAAGGTCCAGGGCAAAGCGACTCGCCTGCTTACCACTCAACTGTATTTCCCCGACCTGCAAGAAACCAACGTCAAAGACTGGATTTTTCGCGACGACCTCATGATGCGCCTGGACCCCATTAGTGGAGGTTTCCGTGGACGTTTCGACTTTGTACTCTCTCCAGGCTGACGGGAGGCTGCCGTAATCGCGATAGTAACGAGTCTTTCTGCCCGTTAGCTTGAATTACAAACTACTCGAAATAATTGCAGAATTCCCGACATCGGTTTGGAACTATGCGTTGCGGAGCAATCCCCCAATCTTCGTTGCAAAAATGCTGTCACATATGATGAGCAGATGGAGATGCTGTTGGTGACTGTGCTTCTGGAATCGTACGCGAAGCAATTTCTCATTCATCAGTTATGGCGATAACCGCCATGAAATCGCCTGCTTTCACGAGCCCCGGAAAGTGGCGACCGGCCAACATGCCTTGGCGTCGAGCCCGGTATTCAATGGGATTGATGCCGGTACGGTCCAGCGGCCAGACACGCGAAAGAACATCACCTTCATCCACGAAACTACCTAAATCCACCGTCGGCTCAATCAGTCCATCGTGATTGCTGAAGACAAAGCAATCCCCATCCGGTGTATCCAAATTCACTGACGTGCCAACATCTGGTTCCGCCTTCAAAATGCCAGCGTGAATCAGGACGTTTCGAATTCCTTTCTTTGCGATTGAAACGGTCTTTGCCGTGGTGGTGCCGCCACCGCCGAGTTCTGAAGACACGAATACTTTTCCTTGGTCTTCAACAGCTGTGTCGTACATTCCTGTGTTATCAATTTCAAGAAGCAGCATCGAATACGGAGCATTGAATGCACGCATTGCAGCAACGCATGCTGCCTGCTGATCTTTATCCGCGAGAACATGGGCTGCAGCGAAAGGCAAAAACTCAAGCGATTTACCGCCCGAATGGATATCGACAACAACATTCGACATCGGCACCAGAGTACGCATGAAATAGTCAGCAATCTTTTCAGTGACGGTTCCACTTGGATTGCCTGGAAAAACGCGGTTCATATTTCCATCGTCAATCGGTGAATTTCTTGATCCAGCGCGAAATGCCGGATAGTTGAAAGCGGGAACAATAATCACCCGTCCAGAGATATCCGACACAGTTAGGTGCAATGCCAGATTCTGCAGTGCAACAGGGCCTTCATACTCATCACCATGATTTGCACCCGTCAAAAGCGCAGTCGGTCCAGTGCCGTTTCGAATTACACTGATCGGAATCATCAACGATCCCCATGCTGAATCGTTGCGGCTGTGAGGCAATCGCAGAAATCCATGATGCACGCCATCTTTGTCATACGGCACTGTAGATGTTATCGGGCTGTTTCGCATACGTTCTCTAGTCTCTTTGAATGGCAGATTTCGAATTATTCAACAACAATCAGATCGCGTTCCACATTGCAGAGCCTCTCGCCGCCGCTTTGTGTAACCACGAATGACTCCGAAACCGCACAGCCGAAATCACTCAGCCAAACTCCAGACTGAAAGTGAAAGCACATTCCAGCTTCCAATACGGTTGAATCTCCTGGTCGCAGACTGCATGTTCGCTCTCCCCAGTCAGGCGGATAACCGACTCCGATCGAGTATCCAACTCGACTGTCTTTTGTCAGTCCGTTCCGATTGAGCACCCCTTGCCAGCCAGCCTCAACCATTTCACAAGTATTTCCAGGCTGCGCGAGCGCAAGACCTACGTCTACGCCCTCTACGATACTTTAGCCAGATCCCGTACTTTGTCTGGTGCCTTTCCGATGTGAACCGTACGCGTCAAGGGTGCGTTATACCGACGCCTCACTCCGGCGATTTCGATCATCGTCAGCACATCATTCGGTAGTGGCGCATCAGACCATGTCAAATGCGGTGTACTGGTGCCTGCACCGACCTGAATGAGCGGAGCGATTGACGCGTAATCACCGCCGCAGCCATTGACGCCGGAAATCTGCGCACGATAAATTTCGGCAACCACTTGATTTTGAGGAATACCTGCACGAATTTTGGAAATCGCTGAATTCATCGTTTGCGTGCCAATTTGTCCAGCTTCTCGCATCAATTCGATTTCTTTGTCGGACTTCACTAGTCTCGCCCAGTTGACCAAATCACCATTATTCTCAATTCGAGCATTTGGCAATGCGTTGACCAATGTGGAATGGCATCTCGCCGTGTAATAGTGCGCATCCATTTCAACGCCAATTCTGTCCCCGACCCAACTTTTCGCTTGAATGAATTCCACTAGCTCATCGTAAGGATGATCAACCGGGTGCTGTACCAAACTTTCCGAATACGGAATAATATTTTCATCAGGAAGATAGGTTGTCACATGAGCAGCTTTGGCATCCTGTGCACGCCCGAACCAGAAAGGCGAATCCTCCTGTAGGTGCACGAGCACGCACTGAGGAACATAGAATGACCAGCCGTCATATCCAGTCAGCCAGCACATATTGCTGGGATCCTGACAGATAATCAGGTCGTAACCTGCTCGTTCCATGCGCAGCTTCACATCGTGCACACGACTCGCGAATTCCTCGCGGCTGAAAACTTTCTCAAATATCGGTGTGGTTTCGTTCATTCTCAGACCTCAATATCTATGCCAGCAGAAACCGCTTCAGCGCGCATGCGGGCAAATGTAGCGATTGCTGTATCCTGCACTCCAGTGCCAGTCAAGTCGCAGAGTGTGATTTCCTCATCGGATTCGACGCTCTCACCGCTTTGCCGGCAACAATGTCGCCTAGTTCGGGGAATATTGAATCCGACGGATGCTGTCCCAGCCTCTAGGGCATGATGCAGTTCGCCGAGTTTTTCAGTTTGTGAACGCCGATCCGGCACGTACCGGTCGACAACAGCAAAACAGCCAGGGTCCAACTCATTCTTATGTGCCTGATCAGACCCCATGGATGTAATATGCTGACCAGCACACAGCCAGTCAGCCATTACCAGCGGATCTGCGGAAGGTGTAGTTGTCACCACAATGTCGGCTGAGCTGACGGCCTTTTTCAGGTCGGAACCGAACGTTACAGACACGCCAAGGCTTTCAGAGAGCTCCAAAGCCGCTGATTTACCTCGATCGTGGTTACGTGCCCATACCACCGCTGATTGAATCGGGCGTACCAAACACAATGCTTCAAGCTGCAAGCGTGACTGTCTGCCAGCTCCGACTATACAAACTCTCTCAGCATCAGAACGCGCGAGATAACGCGCTGCAACAGCACCCGCAGCAGCAGTCCGAATATCTGTCAGATAGCCATTGTCCAGCAAAACCGCTTCGAGCATTCCAGTGCGTGCTGCAAATAGCACCATCAAACCGGACGTGCTCGGCAAACCCACCTTCGGATTGTCGAAAAAACCCGGCGACATTTTTATTGCAAAGCTTTCAAATCCTGGTACATAGGCAGTCTTTACGTCAACTTCGCCGTTGAATTCCTCAATTGCCATGGAAAGAATCGGTGGCATCACAACCTCGCCGCTGGCAAGCGCAGCGAATGCCGATTCAATACATTCGATCGCGTCGGCATTCAATTGAACTGCTTGACGAAGTTCACTTTCAGTCAATATTTTGAGTGTGGGCATGATCGGCTTCGTACTCCTCAACCGTTTAATTTTTCACCGATGATACAGGCGCATATCAATGTTTGCGCTGGGAATCATGGTGGTAGCTGGTGCGTCGAATTTTATTTTTCCGGACCGCTGTTCCAATGCACATGAAAATCACCATTCCACCCCCAAGGATTCGGCTACACAGAACGCTCATCCATCATTTCCTGCTGGTGGTCGAATATGGATGTGTACCCCCCTGACCAGTCCGGCGGAAGCGGAACAAACAATTCTTCATGATGCGCAATAGCGGGTTCGCTGCCGCGCACAAGACAGTTGTAGCGAACGCTCGGGTACGCAGGCGAGGTATAGGGAATTGCATCCGCTGCACTGTATGTGACAACAAACGCAGGCCTTCCTGTTGCACTCGTATTGCGCTCCGACCCGTGAATGGTTCGGCTGTGATGAACGGATAAGGAACCAGGCGGGCCCAGCATCGGTACCGCCTTGCCCAGATCGATTCGTTCAATATCCCGTTCCGGAATGGCGCCCGTCCAATTCCCCTGTGCGTCATAATGAGCATAAATCTGCCCTTTGTGACTGCCTGGAACAACCTGTAACGGTCCTTGATCAGGTTGTGCGCCGTCCAGCATCAGAAGGAATTGCAGAGTACCTGAATGGGTATGAGGATAAAAAACAATATCTTGATGCCATTTGACTTCGGCGCCGCCGCCGGCCCATTTGAAATTCATCATCAGTTCGCGAAACCGGACATTAGGGCCCAGCAAGTCCGCAGCAATATCAGGAATCACCGATTCCGAACAGAGCTCCCAGAACACGGGGGCAAACTCATCCAGGTAAGCCACTCTGCGCAACCGCGGATTTTCATAACTGTGATTCGGTTCGATATCAACTTTGCGGGTCGATTCAGTATAGTTTCTCGTCTGTTCCACGATTTCCGCCAGAGCACTCCGCAAAGACGCCAGCCATTCATCGCCAATCAAACCCGGAAACGCGAGATATCCCTGCTCATAATAGAACTCTCTCTGATCTCGGCTAAGCACCGAGGCTGGCGACGAAAGAATATCTTCGAGTTTCATCGCATCTTTTATCCGGTTTCCGTTGCGCGGTCATTCGGCTCACCGCCCGACACTGTGACGCAACAGGTAGCCATACCCCTCAACCGGCTGTTGATAGCCGGTTGCGCGCAAAGCCTGCCAATACAGGGCCTGATTCGCGCTCACTACGGGTTTCCCGATGGCCTGTTCAATCGACTCCAATACATCAACCGCGCGAATTGCCGTACAAGATATAAACAAGGCATCGGCATCCGGCCGATCAGCTTCTAAAGCTGCATCAAGTATCGCCTGCGGTGGAGTTTTCGCCATCGCATCGTTGTCGGTATGATGGAAACTCGAAAACGCCACAATCTCAAGTCCGCTATTCATCAAGTAGTTCGCAATCCGCACGTTTACATCATCCGTATAGGGTGTAAGTACCGAAATTTTGCGTGCTCCCAGCAAACGAAATGCCGCAAGCGCTGCGGTGATCGGTGTCGCCACTGGAATTCCCGGACGCTCTTCATGAATCCGGCGTGCAACAGCGTCATACCCCATAACGACCGTTCCGGAAGTACAACTGTATGCAACGGCATCCAATCTAGAACCGGGAATCAGTAGCGAAACGGCTCGTGTCAGCTCCGGTTCCATAGCGCGAAGATTTTCGACCGAACAGATCTCAGCGTTTGGAATTCGTGATACAAACAAAGCGATATCATCGCTCGAACGCATGTTGATAAAGTCGCGTTCGGTCGCAAGGTCGTTTGACAAGGCCAGCAAGCCAATTCGATATCGTCCCGGCCCGCTGTCAAGTTCGTAATTTGCGCGAACCGGTTCAGAACGCAAAGTGTTCAGGTTCTGTTCTTGAATTGTATTCATACTGCGCTATCTCCCAACTCCAACACTTATGAATCAGCCGCAACAACAATACAGTCAATCGGCCTGAAAACAAGATCTATCTGTTCACCGTACTGTTTCAGCGGTTGACCTATGAACTGTTCACTGACAGTAATCATCTTGCTGCTGCCGAACTCCACAGCGAGGTGGATATCCGCACCCAAATGAGCGGCGGCGTAAACAGTGCCGGTCAATCTATTGATGGTGCCTGCATTAACTTGATCGTCGTTGCAGGCAACCGCTTGAATTCGTTCCGGCCGAACGCAAACCTCATAGCTGGCTGCATCGCAATCTGGCTGGGGAATAAGAATTGACACGCCTTCAGCAGTTTCGAATTCACACAGTCCTTCGCCACTGACTGCACCCAGTCGTCCTGAAAACCAATTCGAACGGCCGATAAATTCGGCTACAAACTTTGTCCGGGGATATCTATAAACATCTGTCGGCGAACCTCTCTGCACAATGCGTCCCTCGTTCATGACAATCAGCGTATCCCCCAGACTCATCGCTTCCTCTTGATCATGCGTGACGATGATAGTCGTTGCTTCGACGGCCGACAGAATCTGTTTTAGCTCAACGCGCAGCTCTTGCCGGAGTTTGGCGTCCAAAGCGGAAAGCGGTTCGTCAAGCAGCACCACTTCCGGTCCGGTTGCAAGTGCACGCGCAAGCGCAACACGCTGTTGCTGCCCGCCAGACAGCTGGTCGGGACGCCGATTCTCGAAACCAACCAGTTTCACAAGTTCGAGCATCTCACCGACGCGGTTGCGAATACGATTTTTGATCATAACGCCGTCGTTTCAAACCGTACCCAACATTCTGTTCAACACTCATGTGCGGGAAAAGCGCGTAGTCCTGAAACAAAAGACCGACATTGCGCTCATAGGGGCGCTTGCCCAGCATGCTTTGACCGGAAATAACCACATCGCCTTCACACGGATCCTCAAATCCCGCAATCATGCGAAGCGTGGTGGTTTTACCACAACCCGACGGTCCCAGCAACGACAGAATTCCGCCTTTTTCCAAACTGAATGAAGCTTCGTGTACAGCAGTGAAGCTTCCGAACCGTTTGGTTACATTTTCCAGTTGAACAACAGCCATTCAAATTTGCCTATGACCTGTAGATTCCGCCTCCGATTAGACGCTCAAGACCCTACGATCCAATCCAGTACGAAGATGAGACCGATCGTGAACAGCATCAGGACAACCGAGGCAGCAGCGATTGTCAAGTCGAAATTCGTGCGCATCATGCTAACCATGGCAACCGGCAAAGTATACGTAGTTGGAGAGGTAAGAAACAGGCTCACCGCAACATCGTCCATTGAGAAAGCAAAAGCGAATACCGCCCCGGCAACCATACCTGTACGCGCCAACGGGAACGTCACGTCCCAGAATGCCTGACGTTCGTTCGCGCCAAGCGTCATTGCGGCTTCGGTCAGGGTTCTGCGAATTCCGGTAAGCCCAGCAAGTGTTGTTCGCACAGTGTATGGAAATGTGATGATGATGTGACCTGCGAGCAGTCTCGGATAGCCTTGGAACACACCAATCAAGGCGAAAAACAGCAGCAGCGCAAAACCAATCACCACCGCTGGTATCACCAACGGTGACAGAAACACAGTTTCAAGTGCCTGTTTGCCTGGAAAATCGTAACGGTCCAGGACGATGGCCGCACAAACTCCTGCACAGGTTGACACCGTTGCGGCAATCGTCGCAATCACCAAACTGGTGCGCAGACCGGTTAGGTAATAGGTGTCCGAAAAGAATCGTGCATACCATTGAAATGAGAATTCTGTCGGGGGAAAACGGCCCAAATAACTGCGCGCATCAAAAGACATCAGAATGGACACAATGATTGGGGCAAACAGAAACACCACTGTGATCAGAATCGCAAACAAAATCGCCCACGCTCCAAAATTGTCAATATGGCGGTGAATCATATCAAGTAATCAATGTTTGATCCAGCGGGAACTGACGAAATAGGTTACCCCGTAAATGATCACAAGTGACAGTACCAGTACAATGATCGAAATCGCCGAGCCGCTTGGATAGTTCGCAATTTCACTGAATCGGGCATAGATCAGATTGGACACGAACAGGATTTTACCTTTACCCAAATCATAGGCACAACAAACGCTGACAGACAAAGCGTGAACGATATGAGAAACGCCGACAGAAGTCCCGGCACGCACAACGGCACCGTGATCGTGAGATGTGCTACCCAGCGAGGAGCGCCGAGCGCTTGGGCAGCTTCGCTGAGCCTGGGGTTTACATTCTGAATCGTACCCAGAAGTGTAATCGCTGCAATTGGAATCAAGTAGTGAAGCAGCCCTAGAACAACCACCAGCTCGGTATAGATTCTGCCGTTCATCGACACGCCGAGAAGCCCGGACAGGAATTTGGCGATGCCAGTCGGCTCCGAACGTCAGTTGCAACGCATACACACGCACCAGAGTGCTCAGAAACATAATACCGATTAGAAATCCTACAGCGAATTTGCGCCAAATTGGGCCAAGCAGGCGCGCGATGGCATAGGCAATTGGAAATCCCAGTATGATTCCGACAACCGACGCGACACACCCGATTCGCGCGGTTTCAATGAAGTAATACAGATATGTGGCGTTGAGAAGTTCAGCGTAATTGAACAGTGTATACGGCGCGTCTTTGGCTGCACCGATTCGTCCGGGAACAAAGAGGCGGATGCTCTCTTCAACGACATTGGCAAGAGGCAGTACTAGAAATGCTAGCAATATGCCAACACCTGGCACCAACAGCAAAACTGCACCGCGGTTCAATTTCAAGATCGTACCCTACACTCCACACGAACCATCTATCAAGTGCTGCCAATCATACAACACAACCGTTGACTCTGCGCAACCCAAACTTGCAGATAAATCCACCCTGAAAAGATATGCAATGATGATCGGGCAGTCTGCGCGCGTACCGGTCATGCAGTCGGTCTACCGACCGGCACGTCGCAGAATTTGGTTCAGATTCCTACAGCAATGGAACGATATCAGTTTCAAAGCGCTTGTTCCAGCTATCCAGCTCTTTGCCGAGGTGATCCCAATCAGGAATCACCGAAAACTGTTCGGCCTCACTGCTGCTGAATCGCAAGTGCTCCACACCGTGTTCCGCTTTGCCATTCACTGGAACTTCACCGACGCCCTGATAATACAGTTCGCTGTTTTCCTTGGTGATCGTATGATTGGCGAAATCGAATGCGAGTTCTTTGTTTTTGGAACTGGACAACACCATCCAACCGCTGACGAACAGGAATGTCTTGAGCGACGGGTCTGCCTTGGTCAAATGCTTCAGAGTTGTACCTTTCACTCCACCCAATGTGCCTTGATCAACAAACGTCACGGAAGTCTCGCCAGTTTCCAAGGAAGTGATCACATCGGAGGTATTGGCTGAGATTCGTCCAATATTTCCGGCTTTTGCAAGTTCAATAAGAAATTCCCAGCCGGGTTCCATGTTGTATTCATCGCCTCCTCGTGCCTTGGCCAGCGCTACTACCTGCAGGTTGGTGTTGAGCGTCGGGTTCGGCCAGAGTATCTGACCCTTGAGTTTCGGATCAAGCAAATCATCTACGGTATTGATTTCGATTGGGCAGTTGTCCGGCGCGTAGTGAAGAAAACACCACTTGTACCGCGAGGGATGTTCTTCCAATTACCATCTGCGTCTTTGGTGATCAAACTCTCCGCAACATCCGCAAGATTGGGACAGTCATCCAGCGTGACCGTTTCCGCCCAACCTTCCCTTAACATCGACAGAAACACAGGACTCCAGACATCCACCAAGTCATAAGGCGGGTTTGGCCATGCAGCTTTGATTTTAGGTAAAATGGAAGCGGCGCCACCGGAGTGCAGCGTCCAATTGATTTCGCTTTTTCCCCACGTTTCCGCGACTTGCTTGGCGTTGTCAATCCAAGGCGGCCCCCAATCGACGACCGACAGCGGATCTGCGCCATAAGCCTGATTGAGAAAGGATGCCGGCACAGATGCAGCGGCTAAGCCGCTTGCAGCTGCCTTAAGCACCTGACGGCGAGTCATTTTCATTGTCATCACTCATTCCTCCTGAGTTATGTTCATCGGTTAACCTGGATTCCTCTAAGCTCTCAGGGGAGCGTGCTCAAACTGAGCCACGTACGACCTGAAATCTCAATTCGGAACTCGAAAATTCGCCACAGCCAGATTGCTTTGACCGAGCTGTATACAAATGTTACATGATACAATTTGCATAGTCAACAAGGTATCGCGTACCACAACGAGATCTATTAACCAGCGCGATCGGAACGCAGCCGTAAAAAGACTATTCCATTAAATCCAGCGGAAACCGTAGGAGTATGAACAAACCGATTGACACCGATTTACTGCAATATGCCAACAGCACCGAGCATCTCACACGAGAGACGGTGGGAGACCGGCATCAGCGAATCTATAAAACCATACGTGAACGCATTTCGCTTCTGTACTATCCTCCCAATACAGTATCGTGAAACGGAACTGGCAGGCGAATTCAATGTCAGCCGCACTCCAATCCGGCGCGTTTTGCAGCGTTTGCATTTCGAGGGTTTAGTCGATATACGAAATGGCGTTGGAACCGTAGTTACGGACATTGACCTCAAAACCATGAAAGAGGTTTACGACCTGCGAATGTACCTGTCGGAACTCATTGCAGAACTGTCTCCGCGCGAAATCACCAAAGATCATCTGCAAGCCATGGAGGTGCTACTTGAGCGTACAAAAACAATGTATGACCAGCGCGACAGTGCCGCCTATGGACGCCTGTGCAACGAACTGCATGAGGTCTTGATTTCCTTGATTGGCAGCGTGCCGTTGCGGGAAATCACCGACAATCTGTACTACCGCTCAGCTCGAATTTGGATTACCTATCTCCCAAACCTGAACTGGAATGAGATTATTTCTGATCAGGAGCTTGAAACTTCCGAAATGATCGCTGCTATGAAACACAACGACTTGCGCGGGGTAGTGCAGGTCCGGCGCTTCTATCTGCACTGCATCCTGAGTCGTATCAGCGACTATCTCAAAAGCAGTGGCAGTTTCAGAGTGAGTACCATTTCGCCCAAGCATAACAGCGACATCGACGTCAAACGCGAACGATCCAGTTGAATCTGCCAACCTATTCGCAGATTGTCATTTGTGGCGGAGGTATCGCCGGCGCAAGCGTTGCGTATCATCTCGCGAAGCTTGGATTACGCGACATCACCTTATTGGAGCGTCATCAACTCACCTCAGGAACCACTTGGCATGCCGCTGGCCTGATCATGCAGTTACGCTCTACGCACGCTCTGACTGAACTTGCGAAATACAATGTGGAACTGTATTCAAAATTGGAATCTGAAACAGGTCAGTCACCCGGCTTCAGACAAAACGGAACACTTGGAGTATGCAGAACCAGCGACCGAATTCTGGAGGCCCAAAAAACCGCTTCTATCGCAAAAAGCTTCGGTATTGAAGCGCACATGATCACCCCGCGTGAGGCGAAAGAAATCTATCCGCCACTTGACCCAACCGCCATCCAGGGTGCCATCTACATTCCAAATGATGGTCAAACCAACCCTGTCGACACCACCATGGCACTGATCGCCGGGGCGCGGCAGCACGGAGCAACCATTGTCGAGAGTTGCGAAGTGAAAGCTCTGAAACGAATACGAACGCAGGAATATCTCATCGAAACACTTCATGGCGAGATTCGATGCGAAACTCTGGTACTGGCATGCGGTCTTTGGACACGCGAGCTTGCCGCCCAGCTCGGAATTCGCGTCCCGCTTTATGCGTGCGAGCACTATTACATCGTAACCGAACCTCTCGATTGCATACTGCCGAACCTGCCAGTGCTACGGGATACCGATGGCTGTAGTTACATCAAGGAAGATGCGGGGAAATGGCTGGTAGGAGCATTTCAACCAGATGGCAAGCCATTGGAGATGAGCGAAATTCCAGCCGATACCCCATTTATCGAACTGCCTGAGAATTGGGATGAGTTTGAGCTTCCGTTCAGCAAAGCCACAGAAATTCTGCCTGCACTTCACAATGCAGGAATTGCGAAATTTCTCAACGGACCTGAAAGCTTCACACCGGATCTGCTGTTTGCACTGGGAGAAGTACCCGGAAATGCCCAACTGCTACATTTCTGCTGGCTATAACTCCGAGGGTATTGAGTTGAACCCAGGAGCTGGCAGGGCTTTGGCTGAGTGGATTGCACATGGTGAACCGTCAATTGATCTGGGTTTTGTTAATATCAATCGATTTCATTCGTTCCAGAACAACACTAACTACTTGCGCAAACGCAGCAGTGAGGTTCTTGGCCTGCACTACAAGATGCACTGGCCGCACCTGCAGAAGGAATCCGCTCGAAACATCCGCAAGAGCGTTCTGCATGACCGATGGGTGATGCTGAATGCGAGTTTCGGCGAGGCTGTGGGATGGGAACGCCCCATGTGGTTTGCTCCCAAGGAGTCGGAAAGCAAAAACATCTACTCTCACACCCGCCCCAATTGGTTTGAGTACACAGCGCTGGAGTGCAAGGCGGCGCGTGAAAAGGCAATCATTCTGGATCAGAGTTCTTTCGGCAAGTTCTTGATTCAAGGAAGCAACGCCTGTGAATTTCTGCAAGGAATTTGTAGCGGCAATATCGATGTGGAAATGGGCAGAATCGTCTATACACATATGCTCAACAGTCGCGGAGGCATCGAGGTGGATCTGACAGTTAATCGTCTTGATGAAGATCGATTCATGATTGTTTCATCCGCGACTTCACAGCCGCGCGACCATGCTTGGATTGCAAGAAATATTGTCACGAAGCCACGTGCAACATTGACAGATGTAACATCATGCTACACAGTACTTTCCATTCAGGGCCCCAATTCGAGGGATGTCCTTTCCAGTGTATCCAACGCGGATTTCAGCAACGAAGCGTTTCCATTTGCAACGTCCAAGTCGATCGAAATCGGTTACGCTCATGCCATAGCCAATCGGCTCACTTTTATCGGAGAATTGGGGTGGGAGCTGTATATCGAATCGGAATTCGCACAGGACATATTCGACCGAATCATGGATGCTGGCTCAGATTTTGGACTAAAGCCCACTGGTTACCATGCACTCGAACACTTGCGTTGCGAAAAGGCGTATAGGGAATTCGATCTTGACCTTACTCCAGAAGACACCCCATTCGAAGCAGGTCTCGGATATACGGTTGATTTAGACAGGCCCGGTGATTTTACGGGGCGTGACTCACTGCTGTCACAAACTGAATTCGGCCTGCTGAAAAAACGCCTGGTCATGTTTAAACTGAATGACCCTGAACCTGTCCTGTATGGAGAAGAACCCATTTGGCTCAATGGTAAAATTGCCGGTTACCTTTCATCAGGCGCGTTCAGTTTCACACTTGGAACATCGGTCGGTATGGGTTATGTACGTCAAGCGGATGGTATCACAGATGACCTGACCGCGAACGGAATTTGGGAAATTGAAATTGCCTGCGAACGCTTTGCAGCAGTTGCATCACTGCGCACTTTCTTCGACCCGCGTCGCGAAAGGGTTCATCGCTGATCCACCGCCCATTGGCGACTGCGAAACTATAGTGACAAACTTTCACACTGCGGCGGTCAATTTCAACATGCTGCTTGGTATTAACGTGCACGGGAGTCGCCAACCGGCATAAATTGTGCGATTTTGTAGGGAGAATCCGTCTGAATTTTCGTTCCAAAGACCTCCGACCAAGCATATTCGGCAGTTTTAATCCGTATGGCATCTGAAAAGGCCCTTTCGTGACAACTTCCAACCCCATTTCACTATCATCCTACTCATTGGCAAGACATGCAGGCTAGTTGTTATATACTGAACTTAACTTTGATTTCCCGCTGACAACGACACGTCTGACTATTGTAATTAGGGGAAATTCAAAATAGCGGCAGTCCGGGTATTTGCCGTAATAACTACACAAATGAGGTGAAAGCATGTCAGAAGTGATGATAGCAGGAGTAGACGGCAGCGAACCTGGTAAGCGTGCTGCCGAGTTTGCGGCCAACTTTGCGAGCGCTCACAATGCAAAGTTATTGATAGTTTATGTAATCGAGTGGTCTCCGTTTACCTTCAATACACCAGAAGAAAATGAGCAAAGACACAATCGACGTGAACAGGAAATTGAAACCGCCAATACAAGCATTCTTCAACCACTAGTCGAAAAACTGAGTGGGCGCGGTGCCAGTGTAGAAGGGTTAGTATTTCACGGACACCCTGCAAAAATGCTCAATAGTATTGCGCTGGACAATGGTGCTTCGCAGATCTTCATTGGTCGTACCGGCGGTTCCGGAATATCGAAACTTTTGTTTGGCAGCGTTGCCAGCAACCTGGTGCAAACTGCCGTAGTGCCTGTGACGGTAATTCCGTAGGTAGCAACGCGAAGAGCAATCACTGAATTAGGAGTAAATCTAATATGAAATCTCGAATTAAGAAAATCTTGATAGGAATTATTTGCCTGGCTGGTGTCTCTGCGTTTATGACACTGCCCGCGCAGGCGCAGAACGAAGAACGAGTTCTCTCATCGGCGCAGCAGTGGGTGACTGGTATTGAAGTTCCTGGGCTTGGTTACCGTTCGTGGGTAACCGGCATTCAACCACCGTCAACTGTAGAAGTAGCGGAGGAAGTAGCCGGAATTGACGCGTTGGTTGACAAGATCATGTCACCAATCAATGCGGTTATCTACAACGCAGTCTTCTTTTCCGTTCCGTTCTTAGGATCTGATTTGAAGTTGGTTGTTGCGTGGCTAGTTGTAGGTGCGGTATTTTGCACCGTATATTTCGGTTTAGTCAATTTTCGCGGCTTCGGACAAGCACTTAGGCTGGTACGAGGAGACTACTCCCATCCAAAGGATCATGGAGAAGTTTCACACTTTCAAGCATTGGCTACCGCGCTTTCAGGAACGGTTGGTGTTGGCAACATCGGCGCAGTGCCTATTTTAATTGTCCTAGGTGGACCGGGAGCGGTATTTTGGATGATTGTGGCTGGTTTTCTTGGAATGTCCAGCAAATTCTGCGAATGCACTCTAGGAGTCAAATACCGAAATGAAAACCCCGACGGTTCAGTATCTGGTGGCCCAATGTACTCGTTGAAAAAGGGACTGGCACAACTTGGCAAACCTACACTGGGCAAAGTGCTGGCTGTTTTCTTCTCGATTACAGTCATTTTTGGTTGCCTTGGTGCTGGAAATATGTTTCAAGCGAATCAGGCTTATGTTCAATTCGTGAATATCACAGGTGGAGAAAACAGTTTTCTATCAGATAAAGGGTGGCTATTCGGTTTGGTTTTCGCCATTCTTGTTGCTATTGTCATTCTAGGTGGTATTAAGAGTATTGCACGAGTTACCGAAAAAGTCGTCCCAATTATGGCAATTCTTTACTTGATCGGGGCCTTGGTTGTTCTATTCATAAACGCTGATCGAATTCCGTTCGCAGTTGCCTCGATATTTTCTCACGCATTTAGCCCTCAGGGTGTTACTGGCGGATTTGTCGGCGTGTTGATTCTCGGGTTCCAAAGAGCAGCCTTTTCGAATGAAGCGGGCATTGGTTCGGCAGCCATCGCGCACTCTGCAGTTCGAACAAAAGAACCGGTAACCGAAGGCCTTGTGTCGTTACTGGAGCCGTTTATAGATACTGTGGTAATTTGTACGATTACTGCGCTAGTGGTTCTAACAACTGTGTATGGAGACCCATCAGTTGCTCATCTGTCAGGTGTTGGCTTGACTTCAGAGGCAATGATGAGATCAGTTTCCTGGTTCCCAACGCCACTCGCGATTGCAGTAGTGCTGTTTGCATTTTCAACGATGATCTCTTGGGCATACTATGGCCTGAAGGGTTGGACTTACTGTTTCGGTGAATCGAAAGGTGCAGACATCAGTTTCAAGCTGATCTTTTGCCTCTTCGTCATTATCGGATGCTCAATACCGCTTGCTTCGGTCCTTGATTTTTCGGATGCTATGATTTTTGCAATGGCAATTCCGAATATCTTGGGAATTTACTTCCTGGCACCGATTGTCAAGAAGGAAATGAAATCATACTTCGCCCGAGTTAAAAGCGGTGAGATCGTAAATTATCGTGAACTTGAAAAAGCAAAGAGTTAAATCAATTTGATTTAATCTACATCGATGAAAGCCCTTGGTTCGTAACTGAAAACGCGAATCAAGGGCTTTTTCTACTAATAGATTCTCACAAACGTCGTTGCACGATGGCTGATAGTTCTTTTTCGCATGAATGATACTCTGGCAAAAGGAGCAACAACATAACTTAACCATTCTACTTAGACCGCGATGATCTCCGAAAACCTGGAAGCAGAACCAAATTAGAAGACTGCTTATCGGTCATTCTACTACGCCGGCGCAGAAGAACCCGTTGAGATAGTGCTGGATCCGAAAGCCATCGCCCTTCTCATCATAGGCATGCAGAATACTTACATGGCGGATAAGGAAACGAACGAGGAGATTGCCCGCTATCTCAAACGTGTCACCGGAAATGACTATTCTGCCGATAGGCAGTTTATTTCTTCCGTACTGCTAGTCAGCGTTCGGTTTTCGGTGCTTTTTTCATGTCGAGCCATACCTAGGTTTGTCGGTGGTGGGGCAGCTTGATTATCATAGGATAGATTCACTGACTAGACCGGTGACGCACTAATACTTTCTGTGCAAAACCTCGTTATTTAACTATCAAAAAGACTATTAACCTCGATTCTTTAGCCTGAAACGCAGCGATTGATAGCCTAATTTTGTTAAAGATTCCCCAATTTCCTGCATGGTTTCAAGTTGATCGAATGGGCCCAGCCGCACTCTATAGAAATCACCACGCCCTTCAACAGTAACTTTCTGAACAAACGCTTCCAGGCCATTCAGCGCAAGAGTAGCCTTTACACGGTCTGCATCCGCATATTGGTTGAATGATCCAACTTGTAATACATAGGTCGAAAGTGTATTGGCCGGTGCAGGAGTCTGCTGTTGTTTAGGCTCGGATTCATTCTCTGGGACTACCGTTTGATCCTGCTTTCGAGGTTGTGGCAGAATGTATTCATCTTCAAGAAGCAGTTCATGAAAGTTGAACGTCACGTTCGGTAAAGATTGATCTGAATCATTTGCCTGTTCAGATTGAGCCTGTACAGACTCGTTTCTGTCTTTGGCCGCCGTAATCAGGCTTTCAATTCCAGAGCCGATATCGGACGGGGTATCCCGCAATACGCCATTGTACAGAGCAGTTCCTACGCTCCCCACAAATATGCCCAGCACGAATATCCCGATCCCCGATGATCCCTTTCTCTTTCGCGTTTTTCGACTTCTTGCCATGGTTTACATTGATTCCGGAGTTGAAACGCCAAGCGCATTAAGACCATTGGCCAACACTTGTCGCACTGCATCTATCAGGTCCAACCGCGCAGACCGTAAGGATGGTTCACAGTCAAGAATTCGTTCCTTGTTGTAAAACGAGTGAAATTCAGTAGCAACATCTCTGAGGTAATACGCGACTTGATGCGGCTCATAACTGGATGCAGCATTTTGTATGACTTCCGGATATTTGACGAGACTTTTGGTCAAACCGAGTTCCGTTTCCGATGCAAGCAACGAAAGATTGCCTTTCTCGGTGCGGGCGATGCCACGTTCGGACATCTGGCGAAATACACTGCAGATTCGAGCATGTGCGTACTGGACATAGTAGACAGGATTTTCGCTTGACTCCTCTTTGGCTAGGTCAAGATCGAAGTCAAGATGCTGTTCGGATTTACGAAGAACATAAAAAAATCTGGCTGCATCCTTTCCAGTTTCCTCTACGAGTTCCCTTAGTGTTACAAACTCTCCAGCACGTGTGGACATTGGGATTTTTACTGAGGCTCGATAAAGAGTTGCAAATTGAACGAGTAATATTTTGAGCCGATTGGAATCTTCGCCAGCAGCCTGCAGCGCTGCCATCATTCTCGCAATATAGCCGTGATGATCTGCGCCCCAGATGTTTATAACGTAATTATAATCTCGATTGAGTTTATCCAGGTGATAGGCAATATCCGATGCGAAGTAAGTGAGCTCACCATTGGAACGTACCAACACCCGATCTTTCTCATCGCCGAACTCGCTGGAACGAAACCAGGTAGCACCTTCCGATTGATAAAGGAATCCCTGCTCCTGTAGTTGCGAAACTGCATGCTCAACATCCCCTTGTTCCAAAAGACGGCTTTCGAAGAACCACTCATCATGAACAACGCCGAGAATTTTCAGGTCGTCACGAATCATTTCCACCATTTCAGTGAGGACAAATCGCCGCAGAGTGTTGAAATCGTCATTGCCTAGCGATTGTCTACACCAGGAGATCAACTTCGTCAAGACAAGGTCTTTGTCATCATTTTCGACATCAGGCGGATCACTTTCCAGATTAGCGAATTCGGCGTCGACTTGCTCTCGGAATGCCTTTGCACAATCCATAATGTACTCGCCTTGATACGCACCGACTGGCAAAGTTACGTCTTTGTCGTGCAACTGAAGGTAACGAATCCAGACACTGGCACAAAGGATATCCATCTGTCGACCCAGATCATTGACGTAATATTCCGTGTCTACGTGATGGCCGGCAACTCTTAGAAGTCGTGCTAGCGCATCTCCAAAAGCCACGCCTCGGCCGTGCCCTACATGAAGAGGACCTGTCGGATTCGCGGATACAAACTCCAAGAGTATTCGATCTGGATTATCTATATCGCCCGCTCCATAGTCATTGCCTTTCTCAAGGATCTCGGCAACTACATCTGTCAATGCAATATCCGAAAGAAAAAAATTGATGAATCCCGGACCGGCTACTTCTGTCTTGTCCAGGAAATCAGCCGCAGGCAGATGGTCCTGAATCATTGAGGCAAGTTCTGCTGGCTTCAATCCGTTAGGGCGCGCCATGCTCAATGCAACACCTGTCGCATAGTCCCCCTGTCCGGCTCGACGAGCACTGTCGACCGGGATGGCAGCCGGCACGCTTGCTTCTGACACAGTGCCGGCCTCGACCAACGCGTTAACGGATTGCTTCAACAATTCTTGGATTTTGCTTTTCATTGGATTCAGGGAATCAGGAAAAATCGACAGGGTCTACATCCAGACTCCATCGCAACTTGCCTTTCTTTGGCAATTTGTCCAGCTTCGCCATCCAATCGCCTAAAAACTGTCTTAGAACAACTGAATTCTCGCCTGTTGTGAGAAGCTGAGCTCGATATCTATTGGAAATTTTTTGTATCGGAGACTGTACTATATCAAATACTTCCACACCTTGATAAGCATCTCCACCCAACAGGCTTAATGCGCTGCAGTGCGCTTTTTTCAGAAATACAATTTCTTCACCATGCTGCATGGAATTCGCGCGAAGCAAGGCGTAGTTCGAATAGGGAGGTTGTTTGGCTTCTTCCCTATTTTTCAATTCCAACGCAGCAAAAGCGAGATAGTCGTGATTTCGTATGCAGTCAAAAAACTTGCTGTCCGGGTGAGATGTTTGAATGAATACTTCGCCAGGCTTTTCTACTCGTCCGGCTCGTCCGGCAACCTGCAACACCTGCTGAACCATCTGCTCCATTGCTCGAAAATCAATGCTATAGAACCCCTGATCGACATTCAATACCCCAACCAGAGTGACATTGGGAAAGTGGTGCCCCTTTGAAAGCATCTGAGTTCCGACGAGAACATCCACTTCGCCCTCTTGTATACGTTTGAGTTTTTGTTCAAATTCGGCATACGAATGGGTAGTATCTCGGTCAATTCGCATAATCCGTGCCCCTGGCAGCCGGTTCTGCAATGTCTGTTCAACTCTTTGCGTTCCCTGTTGAAGCAACTCGACATGATGAGACATACAGTTGGGGCACTTTTGAACGAACTCCGTCCTAATCAGACAATGGTGGCAATGAAGCTTGTTGTCCGACGCGTGAAATATCAGATTTGCGTCGCAGTTGTTGCACTTTGCAACCCATTTACAGTCATAGCAGATGATTACTGGGGCAAACCCACGCCGATTGATGAATATCAAGCTCTGCTCGCCACGTTCGATCCGATTGCTGATTTCGTTCAAAATCTTAACAGCAATGCCGTTATACGCGGCTGATCGGCTGAGATCAATCAATTTGATCGCAGGCATTTCGACATTGGTGGCACGTTGAGGTAGTTCCAGAGTTTCGACGCGACCACTGCGTGCGGCATGCACGGTTTCCAGTGAAGGAGTCGCGGTTCCACACAAGACTGGGAAATTGCCGATGGCTGCACGATAAATTGACACTGCGCGGGCATGATAGCGCGCTCTTTCCTGTTGCTTGAAAGAAGTATCGTGTTCCTCGTCAATTACGATCATTGCAAGAGCCTTGAATGGCAAAAATACTGCTGACCTGGTACCAATGACAACCTGCGCCTGACCGGAACGCGCAAGCCACCAGGTACGATGACGCTGCGCATCCGTCAATCCGGAATGGTAGGAGGAAACCGGCACTCCCAACGCATGTTGAACGCGCTGTTCCAATTGCGGAGTTAATCCGATTTCGGGCACTAGCATCAATGCCTGTCCGCTACTTTCCAATACCTTGCAAATCGCTTGAAGATAGACTTCGGTCTTGCCACTACCTGTAACACCTTGAATAAGAAAGCTTTGGTAGTGATTTAGACTGCTCAAGATACGGTCGCGTGCGGCAATCTGAGCAAACGTCAAGTCTTGGATCAAATTCATCTCGCAACGGATTTCGTGATGAACTAAAGGTTCCGCTAACACCCATTGTTTTACTATCAGTTGTCGAAGTGCCGACTGCCAACTGCGCCCGGCCATCTTTAGCTGATCCTTACCAACGATGTCCTTGCTGGCTTTCAATAGTTCAACGATCGCTCTCTGAACGTGAGCGCGTGAGAGTTCGGCAGGATTAATGTTCAAGCCCTGGCCTGACAGCCGGTAACCCATCTCAAATTTCGGCTGCATTGGGCGACCGTAGCGAATCGCTTGTGGAAGTGCAGACCAAAGTATCTCTCCAATCGGTTGCTGGTAGTACTCCGAAGTCCAGCGCAAGGTACGAAGCAGGTCCGTTGACACAGCAGGCTCATCATCAAGAACAGATTGAATCGCTCGAATCTTGTCCTTCGGCAAATGTGATTCTTGCGCATGTTCTACGACGATGCCAACTCTGCTTTGTCTGTCAAATGGGATGATGACGCGACTTCCAACCGGCACTTCCGCCAGTGAATTACACCTGTAGTCAAACAGGCTCATGTGCCGTATTGGCACTGCGACTCGAACGATTCCGCTCAATCGATTACCTGATTTTCGCAGTAAAATTCCATGCACACTCCTGATTCCTGCAGCTATTGAATGATTTTAACCGGAAATTTTGAGCGCGGATTCCATCCGTCGAACAAACCGAAACTGATATGCATGGATTGAACATCAACGAATCTCCCTGGGCTGAAATTTCACGATCTCTCGACTGTGAAATTCTGGACATAAGGAGGCGCTCCGGCAACGAATTTAGCCAAACCTGCGCCATTCACTGTTCATCCCAAGACTACTTCGTCAAATTGAGTCCGAACATAGACAGTCTAGAGGCGGAGGAAGACGGGCTCAAAGCCCTTGCCAATTCGAAAGCAATCCGAGTGCCCAAACTGATTCTGTCCGGCACAACCAATTCCGGTGGTTTTCTGGTTACTGAATTATTGAATCTACACATGGCAAAACCCTCATTTCCAAGACTTGCCCAAGACTTGATCGCACTTCATCGTACGACCGGAACTATTTTCGGCTGGCATCGCGATAACTACATTGGCGGATCTCGTCAACAAAACCCTTTCTGCAATAACTGGACTGAATTCTTCCGCGAAGCTCGACTCCACTACCAACTCAGTCTGGCGCAAAAAAACGGATACAGTTTCAGCCTGCAGACACTCGGCGAGCAGGTGTTGTCGGGCCTCCCGGAGATCCTCAATCATCACGACCCTGTTCCTTCTCTGGTTCACGGCGACCTGTGGCAAGGCAACTGCGGTTTCACTACAGATGGCGTCCCGGTAATCTATGATCCCGCAATCTATTACGGAGACCGCGAGACTGATCTGGCGATGAGCCAGTTATTCGGTGGATTTCCGCAAGTATTCTACGATGCTTACCGAGAGGCCTGGCCACTTGACCCAGGCTGGGAAGTGCGTCAACTCGTCTACAACCTCTACCACATTCTGAATCACCTGAACCTGTTCGGTCGAACTTACCTGCAACAGGCAGAGGCCACTGCGAGAAAGATTTTAAGCGAGATTCGCTAAGCCTATTAGCGGCGATCTGATATGCGGCCAGTTTCACCTTATAATGTGGTCTACAAACGGCCGCAGGTCATTTACCCTGCGGCATTCAAAATATTGCAGCAAACTCTCACGCACAACCTGAAAAGCCAATTCGTCCCAGGGAATTTCATCTTCTGCGAATAGTCTTGCCTCAAGACTTTCTTCCCCTGGCGAAAAGTCTGGCGTCTCCAGCTGTGCACGAAAAATGACGTATACCTGACTGACATGGGGAATGTTATATATGGCAAACAATTCATCGATTTGTGCAACTGCCTGTGCCTCCTCAAGCGTTTCTCGCGTGGCTGCATCGTTGATCGTCTCGCCAAGCTCCATGAATCCGGCCGGTATCGTCCATAATCCCATTCTCGGTTCAATCGCTCTTCGGCAGAGAAGAATTTTCTCTTCCCATTGAACGATACAGCCTGCAACAATTTTCGGGTTCTGATAATGAACAGATTCACAATCATCACAAACGAAACGCTGCAGATTGTCCCCTTGGGGGATCTTCAAAGACACATGTCCGCCGCAGTAGCTGCAAAAATTTCATTTCTCTTAACTTTTCTTGATTGTTTCACGTACGCAAACATTGCGTTACAGTATACCCGGCAGTTTCCGAATCATTGATGTTCACGTTGTGACATGACGACGATATTGATCACCATTCCGTTTTTTGCCGTGATTGCCTGTGGATTTTTTGCGACGCGACGAAAAATCATCAATTCGGCAGGCAGAGCCGGTCTGAATCTCTTTGTATACTATTTTGCGCTTCCGGTACTGATTTTTTCACTTATGGCGCAGGCGGATCTTCGCGGAGAATTCCAGTTGATTTTCGTTGTCGCCTATCTGTCCGTTGCTCTGGTCCTGTTCGCTGTCTCGCTGATCGTGGCACGTTTAGTCTTCCGACTCGAAACTAGTTTCGGGGTTGTTTTTGCCACTGCATGTATTTATGGAAACACTGGATATTTTGGACTCCCATTTGTAATTATCGCTTTCGGCCAACAAGCTAGCGTGCCAGTTGTTGTTTGCACCACATTTGATTTAGCCGTAATGCTTCCATTGGCTTCTGTTCTGTTGGAGAGGACGAAAGCCTCGCCAACTGCTTCATTGAGCCAAGTGTACAAGAAGTCCATGCAGTCTGTCGCACAAAACCCACTGATACTCGCAGCAGTTCTCGGTGCGTTGTTCTCGGTTTCAGGAATTCAAATGCCGGAAGTTGCCGACCGATTTGTACTGTTGCTGGGCTCTGCTGCCGCTCCCTGTGCTCTATTTGCGCTTGGATCAAGCATGGATGAAGAAAGAGCAGATTTCTTTCAAGGCGAGATATTTGTCATCAGCTTCATCAAACTTGTCATCCATCCTCTGATTATCTGGATTGCAATGTTTCATCTGTATCCGGTCGACCACGATTGGGCAAGAAGCGCAGTTATCGCTGCATCGATGCCCGTCGCAGTAACTGCCTATATACTGGCTACACAATACAATACTTATGTTGGCCGTACTTCGGCTTCAATATTGATGTCAACCGTACTGTCCGTAGCAACGTTGTCGTTCATACTTGGCCAGATAACCTGACACACACTACTTAGTTCCAAAAAATATGAAACTGCTGGTCGACATTGGCAATCAGAATCTGAAGTGGTCGTTCGGCGAGACTCTCGGCTCATTTCCATCATCGCTTGCAGAATTTGCGGACAACTTTGACAATTGCTTTGGTCAACTCGAAAACGTAACCGATCTTGCATTCGTCAATGTAGCTGGACGAAATACAGAGAAAATTCTGAAAGACCTGGCGAGAACGAAGTGGGGAATACATGCTACTGAAATTCTTCCTGTTCTTGAGCAATGCGGTGTACGGAATGGCTATCGCAATATCAATGAACTTGGTGCGGACAGATGGGCCGCGCTTGTTGGAGCATGGTCACTTAACCCAACAGCGACCATTGTCGTAGACTGCGGCACAGCAATAACGATAGATGCACTCTCTTTCGATGGCGAATTTGTTGGCGGCTCGATTGTTCCTGGATTTCGACTTTCTCAAGGCGCGCTTTGGCACAACGCGCCCGGGATAGATGAATTTGTTGATCTGAATCCCGTATTGCCCGCTTGTTCAACAATTGAAGCGGTTTCCAGCGGTGTTGTCCACGGAATTGTCGGCGGTGTCGATCGATTGATCGAAAAATACCGCAGTATTGTTGGCGGAGAATCGCAACTGGTTCTTTCTGGCGGTGATGCGCAAATCGTCAAAAGAATTCAGCATTCAAGTTTTTGTCTGTTCCCAACCTTGTGTTACTTGGAATTGACGTGATTGCTGGTTGAGTCTGGGAAATTCCTTGGCAGCAAATCAGGTTGCTTAAGCGGTGATGGACGAATGCGACGCATCACTGATTCAAGCTCTCTGCACAATACCCTAATGGAAAACTTCTCAAGGAAGAAACGTCAATGAGTAATCTTGATACCGAGGAATTTAGCTGATATTTCATTCTCCAACGAACTTGTCTCAACTCTGAAGCAATCTGCTGAACGAATTTGCATTTTTCATCCTACAGTCTTGCAGTAAAATTTTGTTGTCGCCAAAACTAAAGACATTGTGACTCGGCAAGGATTTGATTGACACGGACGTTTGATAATGGGATTTATATAAATAAGCTGGCTTGTATGCGGACCAATACCCAAGAAATTTATTTAACGGCCTCTATTTGCCGCCTGGGTCAATTCATTACGACAATTGACTACTGAAACTGTGCTGCGCAGCCCACTTCACGAACTACATGTCGAGCTTGGAGCGAAATTGGGGCCATTCGCAGGCTTTGAAATGCCTATTTGGTACCCTGAAAAGATCATATCAGAGCATAATCACACCAGAAATCAAGTCAGTCTGTTTGACATCTCACACATGGGACAAGCCAGTATTGGCGGCGACAATGCGGCACAGGCACTCGAACAGCTGATTCCTACGGATCTTGTGAGTCTGCCTACAAACAAAATGCACTACTGCTGTTTGACAGACACGCAGGGTGGTATTCTGGATGACCTTGTCATCGCGAATCTGGGGCAAGATTATTTCCTCGTCATGAATGCTGCTCGTAAAGAGCATGACTTGAAACATCTGCGAGACAACATAACCACAGCCGCAGTCGTTGAACATACGGAAAATGCGCTCATCGCTTTGCAGGGTCCTATGGCAATCGAAGTTTTGAATCGATTTCATCCACACATCACCGATTTGGATTTCATGACAATTGCGGATTTCGAGATCAATGGAGTACCTTGCTTCGTTAGCCGATCTGGTTATACCGGAGAAGATGGATTTGAGATTTCGATGCCCGCCATATCGGCGATGGCGCTCGCGAGAACTTTCTTGAATGAACCCGAAGTGAAGCCAGCCGGCCTCGGAGCACGAGATTCACTACGGTTGGAGGCCGGGGTTGCGTTTGTACGGGCAAGATATGAATACAGCAACTACGCCGGTCGAAGCGGGAATTCAGTGGACAATTTCAAAGTCTCGTCGTGCTGGCGGAGAGCGGGCCGGCGGATTTCCAGGAGCAGGCCGCATTTTTGATCAGCTGGCAAGTGGCTCCGAACGCCGATTCGTCGGCATGCGGCTCACAACCAACGCTCCCGCGCGAACCGGAGCGGAAATATGCTCGGATGATGGAAGAATAATTGGTGAAGTAACCAGTGGAATGTTTTCACCATCGCTGAAGGTACCGATTGCAATGGGATATATTGATCGGGAATTCTCCAAGCCAGACAGCGAAGTGAGCATTCTGATACGAGGCAAGCAACACCCGACGAATGTTGTCAAATTACCTTTTGTCAAACATCGCTATCACCATCATATAAAACTGCAACCTGGCTCCTATGGAGGAGAACACCATGTCTGAAACACGCTATACGACTGATCACGAATGGGCAAGAAGTGAAGAAGACGGAATTGCCACAATCGGAATCACCGAATTTGCCCAAGAACAGCTCGGTGACATCGTTTTTGTTGATTTACCTGAAACAGGATCAATATTCGATGCCGGAGAAGAAATCGCTGTGATCGAGTCAGTTAAAGCCGCTGCTGAACTGAACACCCCGTTGACTGGCGAGATTGTTGAAGTCAATGAAGAACTTGCAGACTCCCCGGAATTGGTAAACGAAAGCCCGACGGATGAAGGCTGGTTCTGCAAAATTCAAATGTCGGAGTTATCAGAATTTGACGCACTTATGGATGAGCAGCAATACGAAGATTACACTTCCAACCTAGAATAAATTACTCGGAACAGTTAGCTTTATGTCCCTTGAATCCAACGACAGTCAGTATGACAGCATACAAACCTTAAACGAACTGGAACTCACCAACGACTTTGTCAGAAGGCATATCGGACCCGGACCTGTACAGGTTCAACAAATGCTGAAGGAGCTCGGAGTTGATTCTCTGGACGAGTTGATTGATCAAACAGTTCCAAAGAAACTCCAATCCAACAAATCTCTGCATCTACCGTTTCCGGCTGGAGAAAACGAGACTATCAGCTACATTCGCCGTATGCGCGAAAGAAATCATGTTTTCACCTCAATGATTGGCATGGGATACCATGCAACCGTTCTCCCGGGCGTAATTCGAAGAAATATTCTTGAAGATCCAGGTTGGTACACCGCCTACACGCCATACCAGGCTGAGGTGAGTCAAGGCAGACTGGAAGCACTGCTTGTTTTCCAGGAGATCGTAACCGATCTAACCGGAATGGAGATCGCCAATGCATCTTTGCTTGACGAAGCAACTGCCGCGGCCGAAGCTATGGCAATGTCAAGACGAATTTCCAAAACTAAGTCGCAGAAATTCCTGGTTTCTGGCGACTGCCATCCGCAGACAATTGCTGTTGTCGAAACACGTGCAAACTCATTGAATTTCGAAGTCATCGTTGGAGACATCGAATCACTAGCGAAATCCGAAGAAGAATATTTTGGCATTCTGTTTCAATATCCAGGTTCGACCGGGCGAGTATTTGACATAACCCGTGTGGTAGAACTGGCACATGAGCGAAAAGCCATTGTGACTGTCGCCTCGGATTTGCTGGCGTTGTGCCTGTTTAAACCACCGGGTGAATTTGGCGCAGATATCGTAGTCGGAAACACTCAGCGCTTCGGCGTGCCTATGGCCTATGGAGGCCCCCACGCTGCCTACTTGGCCACGCGTCATGACTACAGACGAACGCTTCCAGGAAGACTGATTGGCGTTTCAGTGGACAGCCGCGGTAAAACAGCACTTCGAATGGCACTACAGACACGTGAACAGCACATCCGACGTGACAAAGCAACCAGCAACATATGCACTGCACAGGTTCTGCTCGCAATAGTCGCCGCCTTTTACGCGGTCTACCATGGTCCCGAAGGATTGAAGGACATCGCGTCCAAAATCCACCGATTCACGCTTATCACTGCGGAGGGATTGCGCCAACTAGGTTACAAAGTCATACACGATGTGGTTTTCGACACCTTAATGGTCAATGCTCATGGACAAGCGCGCAGAATTGCTGCTAGGGCGCGCGAATCAAGAATTAATTTGCGAGTCATCGATGCTGACCACATCGGCATTACACTGGATGAAACCACCAAACGAGTACATCTCGAAAGACTGTGGGCAATTTTCGATACCCGTGCGAATACAAAAATTACTATTGACCAGTTGGATGCTGTCGTCAAAGACGTCATACCGGAAAATTTGAGTCGAACAAGTCCCTATCTGACACATCCCACTTTCAGTCTATATCAATCAGAAACCCTGATGTTGCGATACATTCGGCAACTCGGACAAAAAGACATCGCATTGAACCGATCGATGATTCCGCTGGGCTCATGCACCATGAAACTGAATTCAACGACTGAAATGACGCCGGTTACATTTCACAAATTCAGCGCCATTCATCCATTCGCGCCATTGGATCAAACGCAAGGCTACCATCAACTGGTAGAAGAACTGGAAACGATGCTATGTGAAATTACCGGATTCGATGCGATTTCTTTTCAGCCAAATGCGGGCTCCCAAGGAGAATATACCGGATTGCTTTGCATCAAGAAATACCTTCAGCAGCAAGGCGAAGGTCATCGCAACGTCTGCCTTATTCCCGAATCTGCGCACGGCACCAATCCTGCCAGTGCAGTTTTGGCCGGTTTGCGCGTAGCCGTCGTGAAGTGCGACAAAATGGGCAACGTCGACGTGTCGATCTCAAAACAAAGCTAGAGAAACATCAAAACGAAGTTGCCGCATTGATGATTACCTATCCATCAACCCATGGCGTATTTGAAGAACAGATTGCCGATATATGTGATCTGGTTCATGAATTCGGTGCGCAGGTTTACCTAGACGGCGCAAACATGAACGCATTGGTCGGTATATGCCTTCCGGCCGAATTTGGAGCAGATGTCGCACACATCAACCTGCATAAAACTTTCTGTATCCCGCACGGCGGAGGCGGTCCGGGAATGGGGCCAATAGGAGTTAAAAGCCACCTTGCGCCTTTTCTGCCAGATCACTGCGTGGTTGAAGGCGTTAACCCCTATGCAGGACACGAACCGACCGTTGGAAGCGTATCAGCGGCGCCGTGGGGGTCGGCAGGCATACTTCCAATCTCGTGGGCTTACATTTCAATGATGGGGGCTGAGGGACTCCGCTATGCTACTGAAATTGCCATCTTGAATGCAAACTACATGGCAAAAAGACTGCAGCCGCATTACCCGATACTGTATCGAGGGCGAAATGATCGAGTCGCACATGAATGCATCATTGATTTGCGCCAAATCAAAAAAAGCACCGGCGTCACTGTTGAAGATGTAGCCAAACGCTTGATTGATTTTGGTTTTCACGCTCCAACAGTTTCCTTTCCGGTAGCCGATACGATGATGATTGAGCCAACGGAAAGCGAAGCGAAACGCGAAATAGATCGATACTGTGATGCGATGATTCAGATTCGCAGTGAGATTGCCGACATTGAGTCAGGCGATTCCGACACTGAAAACAATCCATTGAAAAACGCACCACATACCTTTGATTTGCTCGTTCAGGAAACCTGGGAGTTGCCTTACACAAGGCAGGAAGCATTCTTTCCGCTGGAGTGGGTCTGGCACGACAAGTACTGGCCGCCAGTCAGCAGAATTGATAATGTTTATGGTGACCGCTATATCATCTGCAACTGCCCGCCTCTTTCTGAGTGGACAGAAGAAGAGGGCTAATATCGTAATTTAATTCTGCTGTTCGAATAACGGCTTGCGCTGCATTCACCTGGAACGACACACCACGAGATTAATCATCTCGTAAGCAATGGTAGCCGCTGCCAGAGAAGTGATCTCCGCATGGTCATAAGCAGGCGAAACTTCAACGATATCTGCAGCGACCAGATTCACGCCGGCCAGTCCACGAAGAATGTTTAGTAGTTCGCGAGTGGTTAGTCCGGCGATTTCAGGTGTTCCTGTTCCGGGTGCATGAGCAGGGTCAAGCACATCAATGTCAATGGAAAGATAAAGAGGGTGATCGCCAATTCGATCGCGTATACGTCTAGCCACATGATCCGGTCCATGTTTCTCAAGTTCGTCGCAGTGGATTGTCTTGAACCCCAGCTCCTGATCGTTTTTCAGATCATCTGGACTGTACAGGGGGCCGCGAATGCCAACATGCATGGATGCGTCTTCCATAAAGAGCCCTTCTTCCGCTGCACGTCGAAAGGGTGTTCCATGGGTGTATGGTGCCCCAAAATAAGTATCCCATGTATCTAGATGCGCATCAAAATGTACCAGCGCGACTGGCCCTTTGACTTTTTTATTTGCTGCTCTAAGCAGTGGCACCGCAATGGTATGATCGCCTCCCAGGCTGACAATTGCATCAGTGTGTTTGTTCAGGTCTGTCGCGGTCGTTTCAATTTGAAAGATTGCTTCATCAATACTGTAGGGATTGCATGCCACATCCCCGGCATCGGCAACCTGAAGGGATTTGAATGGTTCGGTCTGGTAGACAGGATGGAAGTTGTAACGCAGGTGTCGGGATGCCTGTCGAATGGCCTGGGGTCCAAAGCGTGCCCCTGGCCGATAACTGGTTCCGAGAATCAAAGGGAACACCAAGGATGGCTACATCACACCAAGATACATCCCGTAGTTCAGGCAGTCGGCAAAATGTTGAGGGCCCCGCATAGCGGGGAACTATCGTGCCGCTGACCGGTTCCTTGGGGGAGTGGCTTTTTTTCATTGTTTTATTGGTGTTTGGAGAAACAGTATCGGAATTAATTTCTGAGTGCAAGTGTCATGTTCGATCAGAGATTGCGGGAACCGTTAACAGGATGACAAGACGGATGTTTATATATACATCAGCTTGGAGACACTATCAATAAAAATTTTCAGTAGAGTTTAAAAAAATGGATTGCAAATGAAAGCGCAATCGCGAAACAGCACAATTACCTCATTATCGTGTTACAACTCACGGATTTTATTGAGAGCGAGAGTTCCTGTAATATTGGGTGTATAGCACAACATGTTCAAGTGACGACCTGATTTGGTTCAATCAACTTTTCTAAAAGCGAGGTAGGTTGCTTCCAAGTAGTTCTTTTGAGCTCAAGAAAGCCGATGTCAAACCAGGAGAGCAGGAGCTCACGCAAGTCCCTGTTCAGTGGTTCAAGTTCCAATCCCGATTTCGAGAATCTGATAATATCGACATGTGTACCGATATTAACGTAGGGTATTAGGCAATTTTAGTGATGAACGCCTTGCTTTGCTGATTTCAGCAAAGCTTTCATTTGTGATGAATACTTGATAGTGCCGCTTCAACGTATTCTTCGTGATTTTTCTCATGTTGCTGAGTTTGTACTGATAATTCACCATCAAGCCGAAGGAACGGCGCAGTCCAGTTTCTGATCGATTGCCCAGCCAGTTGACTTGCTCAATTTCAGCACCGTTGGTTAAATGGAAATTGGCCACGGAGTCCAACGCACCCCATTCTTTCGCTTCTCGTTGTCAAATCAGGGCGCACAGCAGTCGTTGAGCAGTGGACAGTTCTTTTCTGGCTTTCAGTATTTCGTAACTGCAAACCGCTGTAAATCATTTACCACCTCATCTAGGTCCTGTCGCTCCGGAATTGAACAAACGCGTTTCATTCTTCCGTTGTCGAGTAATTTTTTCTACAGAATTCTAAATCCTAAAAACGGGTGACAAAGTCCGCGAAGGTCAATTCGGGGAACTCTCTTGCTAAATCATCAATATCAAATCGCTTGATTAGGTGTTAAAGGTTAGAATTAGAGAATTATACTTGATATTAAGTTAGGGTAGGGTAGTATAGAAAGATTATTAATTGTAAGTAGTTCGAGGCGTCTTCGGCGTGCACTATCGGGGTCCTTTCCTCACCTCGGGCTGGGCTTTGACGTTCGGCCCTTCTGGGGGGGTCCCCGCCGGTCTTTCCACCCGCGTCGGGAGTGTCCGCTTCCCTATCAGGGACTTCCTGGTTTCAGTGGCTTCGTCCTCTGCCTTGCGTCTCGCTCTGCCACCGTGGGGGCACCCCGCTCCCGCGCCCCTTCGTCGGTCGTCGTCGTCTTCATCGTGTCGCTTCTGGGCGTCTCTTCCGTCGGCTTCGGGGTCTGGTCGGGGCCCCTTTCCCCCCAACCTCGAAGGCCCGCGCTGTGTATTGGTACTTGAATCGAAAATAGCATATCTACGTTTCAGAATCTTCAATTCAATCAACGGTGCCGGCATCGTCAAGCCACATGTATATTCTCGATACTCCCTTTAACCAAAGCCACTTGCAACAAAATTAGCGGTTTCTCGGGGGCATTCTGGGATGAAAATATGCAAGCATCATCGGTCGGGGTCCCAGCCCTATTCTTTAAGTCATCCAAGACGATTTCAATGGACTGCTTGCTTGCTTCATGTTCAAATTATTTTTCTAAACGAGGCAGGCTCCTTCCACGTATTCTTTGACTCAAGAAAGCCTATGTCCAAACCAGGAGATCATGAGCTCGCGCAAAAGTCCCTGTTCAGTGGTTCAAGTTCCAATCTCCATCGATTTCAGAATCTGATAATGTCGCGTCCGCATGTCATCATGAAACTTGACTCCGCTTGGCATGCGTTGAACTGAGTGAAGTAGCTTAATCCGGGACGGCGCAATCGATTTCTCAGATTTTCAAGATTTCAAGCCGTTTCCGCATTGATTTGCAAACTAAGCGAGAAATTCTTGCAGAGCCACCTTCAAATTATCGATCAAACGGACGCCCGATTCGGTCGCGATCAGGTGCAGACCAAAA